TGTATGAGTATCTTATTTCTAGGCTATATATAACTCAACCCACAAATTCTTTTCTAACTAGTTCCTGAATTGTGAAATTTAATTCAAAAATTTCCGCCTAAAAAAAATTTTAATTTAAAAATTTCATAATTTTTCAATATATTGTGCATTATAAAAGTCATATCATAATCCTAATTCCATAAAAGATTTCACTACTTTGAAACTCAATTTGGTCTTAAAAATCAAATCTTAAACCACCCTAGCATTACTCACAACTTTACTATACACATTTATGAATTACAATTTTAACCACACAAATATATATAAATGGTGGCAAAGAAAATGTTTTAGTCTCTTCCTCCTGTATAGTGGGGGGCAAGTTGAAAGAAAATTCTGAGAAACAGCCTGAAGCTCTCAGGCATATCTATATCTATATAAGCAATTGATAATGATTAGATGAATATATGGTTGAGAAACATCATCATTGGCTTCTTAAAAGCACCTCCATCTTTTCTTTCTTCGAGTCAAAATGGGATGTCCAATTCTCCACCCCAAATTCACACCAAGTCAACTGCTTAACCTACTGTATCAATTCTTCCCATTTTCCATTTCGATCTAATCATTATAAATTGAAATGCCTGCATTTATATTATATTGAAATCCCTGTAGAAAATGCTCAATCAGGTGATATACATTAATCCAACTTAATTAATTAAGTTGGATTTAATTAATTTAATTAATTAATTAAGATTGGTTGCCATCTTATCTTTTATATATATAATATGGTGGGTTATTCCACAATCACGTGATAGTTTGTCTTCAAAATCCCCAACTGAGATTTTGTATTTAGTAACCCCTTTTTTGTTCTTTACTATAATTAAATTATAGTAGTGTGGTGATTATATCACACCATTTCTTGTGGTGCAAATTTATCTAGCTTCGTAGCATACTTAAACCCTAATTTTATCCACAGCTTCAACTTTATATATATATTATATATATAGTTTCATTTTTATTCAATCTTGTTGAATTTATATATAAGAACTTGTATGTCTTTTCTATCTGAGTTGCTATGTTCACGTGTCAAAGTTGCCAAAAATATCATAATAACAAGATCACTACCTTAATATATGTTTTTGTCAATTTCCTCCCATAGGAGCATTACAGTCTGGCAAGCTACACTTATAAATTTTTACATGGAGATTTTGCTCTTTCTCTAAATTCATTCCCTTAATTCAATTTCAATCAATAACTTTGACATTAATGAATTTGCTTTACTGATTCCCTAATACCACACTTATTGTTTTCTTATACTGTTACTTAATATGCAATGAATGAGCGTCGAACGAGAGTAATATTGTTCTTTTTTTTTCTTTTTTTTTTTTCATCACAATTATTTTTTCAATATTTACACACCACAATGACCAAAAGAAAATCATGTCGACACATTTTATAATAGTGTGACTTTGATCATTTTAGATTGTAATAAGCAATTACTTATAATGTCATACTCTTTGTCCAGTTTAATAATGATCAATACAATGTTGGTGATCCTCTTTAGCCTTAGGTTATGTAATCTTAAAAAGGTGAAAATAAATTATTATGTTAACTTTCTTGGATTTTGCTTCAATTTCAAGTAGCTTTGACATAAAATGCATTGTCTACCAATAGCCTAATACGACATACAAAAAAGCTTATCACTTTTTTTTGTTTGCTTCTTTATCAAGGAGCAGGAGTGCAAAAACTAGCAGGGAGCAAACGTAGAATTCGATTTTAGGGATTTATTAATTTTTTTTCTTATATTAAATATTTAGTTCTTGGAAAAGTCATAAATTAAGTTAACCTAAATGTCGCTCTATGCTTCCTCGTATATAATGAAAACATATGTAGCACAAAGCCCATGAAGTCCTGAATATATGGAATGCTGTCTCAGGGCAAAATATTTTTCTATACAAGGGTTATGACTCGGCTATAATTAACTTAACTATACCCAATCTATATATCTAAGGCGTAATCAACACATAAAATGGATTTGCATATCTTTTTACTTACTCTGTCTCAAAATATAAGTAATTAAATATAAATTATAAAGATAGTTATTGTATTTAATATAAATAAAAATAAAATTAAAAAAAGATCATTTGTTAATTTTTAAAATATTCAAAGCGTCTTATATTTAATCAAAAATAATTATTTTAAAACGATTTATATTGTAAAAAGAAGAGAGTATATAATTATTATAATATCCTCAATAGGCATGCTAAATTTAACATTTTTGCTTAAAAAAACTCTATTACGATATACAATCTATATAAGATTTGATTTAATTCTTTCCTTCACCCCAAATTCATCCCGAGATTCTTGCCACCACATGTAAGCCAAGCACAAAATCCATATTCTTTACAAATTATATATATTTTGAGGTCAAACCATTAGGAATAAATAACATTATAAAGTTATATGATGGATAACATTTCTTTTTGAACGACACTCGTCAAATTAATGAAAATGCGTATTGAAATTTTCTTCTCATATTCTAATAATATCTATTTACTTATTCATTTATTTATTGTTGAATTGGGTTGAAGAAAACTGCTTATGGTTTTGTCTCCAAATTGTTACATTAATTTAGGCAAAGGCCTTTTTTTTTTTTTTTTTTGAGAAGAGGCAAAGACTTTGTTTGTTCTGTAGAAATGTGTGAAAAAAAGAATATTCTCTTGCTGACATTGGTGTGTATATCAACAACAATTTTGAGGAAAATGTCAAGTTGCATCCCATGTACAAACAATACTTGTAATCTCTTCAATCTAATTAAAAAATGCATGTAATTTTATTTAATTGAAATAAATAAGTAGTTATGTGAAAATGGACCCATATACCAATTAAAAAAAGAATTTATATTTTGAATTAAAAATCAAATTATGAGCATAAGAGTTAGCTTAAGCCTTAAAGAGATTAGATTCATACATTGACCTTACTTTTTCTTTCAAATAAATGAAAAACTCAATGTATATGGCCCATCCAAATGGGGATTTTTTATGGAGCTAACTGGTTGGATTCCTAGGCCCAACTATACTACAGGAAAGAGTTTAGAATCTAGATGGAAGGTGAACCCAATTAATGGGCCTTCAAGGTTAGGAAATGGGCTTCAGGTTGCAAAAGAGAGACTTTTGTTTACTTTTCTTTCATTCTTTTACATTCTCTCTTTTGTTTAACGTAAGGGAGCAGATGTTACAGAGGTAATAATTTTTATATTCTCATAAATTATTTTTTTTAATATGATTCTCCTAATTCCCATTTTTATATGATTTATAGATAATTTTTTGAAAGTAGATGTATTACAATTTTGTACTGTGGTTAGGCTTGTTCTCCTCGGATTAACTTAGTGCTATACAAGATTAAGTTAGCCAAAAATACAGAACTGAGTACCATATTAAGCTAAGTTTTTTTTTCCCTAAATTACTTAAAGGGGAAATTATTATTTCGTCATGAGATTTTACTAAATTATTTAAGTAGTCCTATTGTTTGGTTAAATATCCAGCACATTCTTGACATTTTGCTCGATTAACCCAAATAGTCCTTCCCTCCATTTTTTTTTTGTGTTTTTGCTGTTAAACCACAAGAAAAGGCAAGAGAGTGGTGAGAGGGATCTTGTAAATGACAAATTTGCCCTTAATTTCAAAAGGCCTTGTAAAGAACGATTCACAGTAAATACAAAACCTCTTTGAACCTATTAAATTGACTATAACCACAATAGATAGAGTTTGAAGAAACCAACTCTCTATCCGGCATTTGATCGAACATCTTGTATGCCAACTACAATTCACACTTCGATATGGTCAATTTATAAGTGGTTCTTGCGCTTACATGGCATCTCCCTCAGAAACCCAAAAACAATCCCTTAACGGTCTCCGTCGCCTCAGAGTATGCCTCTACTGCCGAAACCAAACGCTCTCAGGAATTCCCTTACACAATCATGCCCTTCAGCTCCTTTTTTGCCTCTTCAAATCTCCCTAATCCCAACCATGCCTTCATCGCCAAAACAGGGAGACTAGCGTGTTGTTCACCACCATCACTGCCTTCTCTCAATATCCTAACGTATTTAATCACACTCATACTCTCCTTTTTGCAAGTGTATCGCCGAGATGAATCGAACATCTTGGTTTCAAGATTAAAGTTTAACTATTGGAGTTTTCTCACAGATCACTGTGCATTAGTGTGAATCTATATTCAAAGATGCAGAGACAAGGCTCATGATGCACATCACAGGTTTACTTCCCTGGCTCTGTTTACATCTCAGCAAGGACATAATTGAGAACCTCCTTGCTTGTGTTTCATCACTATTGTGCAACGCGTGGTTCCAAAGCACTCAGCTTTAGCTTTTGGGCACTTCTTGTGATACTGCTCATGCTCAACGAATGCCCTTTGATGATGATGATGATGATAATAAGGGTATTAAAGTCTTTTTATCGTGATCTAACGGCAAAACTATAAAAAACCGGACGAAAGAACTATTTAGGATCACGGAGCAAAACGCCAGGATGTACTGGATATTTGACCAAATAATAGAACTATTTAAATTATTTAGTAAAACTTCAGCCATGGAATAATAATTTTTTTTCCATTATTTAAATGGCTTTTTTTTGGTCTTATCAACCAAATTAAATTAAATAACATTTTTTTATTATGACTTATAGAAAATAATCAAATATGAAATGTATCAAATTATTTTTAGCCAAGAAATTATTAATCATGACTTAATAGAATATCATTTGAATCCATCTTAAAAATTAAAAACTTATTTAATAACTTGATTTTAAAAAATGGAAATTGATTTTATTTATTAAAAAATATATATGTTGATTTGTAATTCTTTGTGCTTTATTTTTAATTATTTAAATGAGAGGAAGTTAATAGCTCGATTTAAATACTGCCAATGGGAATTCTTTACTTGGTAATAATCCAACAAATAACGTCAAAATCCCAAAATGTTCCAATAACTACTAGTCATTACTCCAAGTAATAATGCTATCATCTGATCTCCCAATTATTTGAACCCACTGTTCTCCAAAATAAACCATCACTTTGTGTATGCATATAACTGAGTTTCAGACACCCAATGGATCCTTTTTTGAGATATCTCTTTTTCCTCGTCCTCTTCTTCAAACTCTCAATCTCTACTTCCATATCAGAAATCCCTAAATTCCCATGTCAACCACCACGCTATAACTCCTACACCTTCTGCAACCAATCTTTATCTATTACCACAAGAGCTCAGTCTCTTATATCTCTCCTAACCCTTCAAGAAAAGATCTTTCAGCTATCTGATAATGCTTCAGGAATCCCAAGACTTGGAATTCCACCATATGAATGGTGGTCTGAGTCTCTCCACGGGATTGCCATTAATGGCCCTGGTGTCTCCTTCAGTAATGGACCTGTTTCTGCAGCTACCGGTTTCCCTCAAGTTATTGTCACTGCTGCTGCTTTTAATAGAACGCTTTGGTTCTTGATTGGATCAGCTATTGCCATTGAGGCTAGAGCTATGTATAATGTTGGGCAAGCAGGGTTGACATATTGGGCACCTAATATTAATGTTTTTAGAGACCCTAGATGGGGAAGAGGCCAAGAAACTCCTGGTGAGGATCCCATGGTGGCTTCTGCTTATGCAATTGAGTTTGTTAAGGGTTTTCAAGGCGGGAACTGGAAGAGAAATGGTGATGGAAGTGGTAGATATGGGTTTGGAGAGAAAAGGGTTTTGAGAGAGGATGGTAAGGTTGATGATGGGCTTATGTTGTCTGCTTGTTGCAAACATTTTACCGTTTATGACTTGGAGAAATGGGGCAATTTCAGAAGATATTCTTTCAACGCTTTGGTAAGTCCTTTTTTTTTTTTTTTAAAAAAAATAAAGTTCTCTAATCTTTTTTAGCTTTGTTTTCATAATTATTAGTAGTAAATATCTGAATTCTGATTAAAAGTGAAATAAGTGATCATGTTGGGACCTTCATTTATATATTGGTTAACTAATCTCAACTGAGTATAGTTTGGTTCTGCTTAATTTGTAGCAGATAATAGGCTTGAGAACAATTTTTTTTTTTGGACGGACTTATTGGTTAACCAATTTCAGCTGGGTTAGGTTCGTTTTTGTTTTACATAATAGTTACTACTGTCTTAAAGTGAATTTGATTGTTTTAACACTATTTTATAGAAATATTGATTGGTAGTAACACAAGATTTAGTCTCACTAGAATGTTAGCTCAACTGGTTTTGGTATATTTTTTTTATTAAGTTTGATTTATCATTGACAATTTAGGTTACAGAGCAAGATTTAGAAGATACGTATCAGCCTCCATTTCGTAGTTGTATACAACAAGGTAAAGCAAGTTGCTTAATGTGTTCCTATAATGAAGTCAATGGAGTGCCTGCATGTGCAAGAGAGGATCTGTTACAAAAAGCGAGAACAGAATGGGGCTTTGAAGGGTAAAGATTTTTGAGAGCTTATATAATGTGACATCATGGAATTGAAATTTGAAACTTGGTTGTTTTTTATGTAAAACCCTCACAAATACAGATATATCGTCTCAGACTGTGATGCTGTGGCTACAATTTTCGAGTATCAGAACTACACAAAGAGCCCTGTGGATGCAGTTGCTATTGCCCTTAAAGCAGGTATTTGTAATTGTCTCTTGTTTTATTGAACTTTACTACAATCTCTGTTTTTTTTTTTTTTTTTCAATAAATGCATATATATTTGTCTAATTGTGACATGAGAGTTTGTTATATGTAGGTATGGATATTAATTGTGGCTCATATCTGAAACGCCATGCTCAATCTGCAGTTGATAAAGGTGAGTTGCGAGAAGAGGATATAGACAGAGCTCTTCTCAATCTTTTCTCAGTTCAACTCCGACTTGGGCTGTTTGATGGAGACCCCAAAAAAGGGCAGTTTGGAAAGCTGGGTCCTCAAGATGTTTGCACCCAAGAGCATAAGGCACTGGCGCTTGAAGCAGCCAGGCAAGGAATTGTGCTTCTGAAAAATGATAACAAGTTCCTACCTTTGAATAAGAAAGCTGTTTCTTCCTTGGCAATTATTGGCTCACTAGCAAACAGTGCAAGCAGTTTGGGTGGTGACTACACAGGTTTAACTGCAACAACTAGTAGTAAATATTCAATTAAAATTTCAATTTTGATGTTTTTCTTCTATTGCTCAGTTCCTGGAGTTATAATACCTTTCTTTTAGTGAGCATTTCTTGGGAATTTTGTCTTCATCATGCGCATTATGACTTTTTTTATCTAACTAATCTTTGGTCTATATTATTTTCCAAATTAGGCGTACCATTCAATAAAATTAATTGTTAAAGCTAAGGTCATCTATCTGCAAGGTTTTCTCAAAATTTTAGAGGATTTGCAACTTGCATTTATGCTGTGGCCACTTAATGTAATTTCTTTATTTTGTAGGATATCCATGTAATCCACAGAGCCTTTTTGATGGGCTTAAAGCCTACATAATGAAGACATCTTATGCAATTGGTTGCCATGACGTGTCTTGTGATTCCGATGCTCAGTTTGATGAAGCAATGCATATTGCCAAAAGTGCTGATTTTGTAATCATAGTTGCTGGGCTTGATTTGTCACAAGAAACTGAAGATCATGACCGTGTTAGTCTTCTGTTACCTGGTAAACAGATGAACCTGGTATCTTCTGTTGCAGCAGCTAGTAAAAAGCCAGTGATTCTAGTTCTCACCGGCGGAGGACCACTTGATATATCATTTGCCAAAAGAGATCCAAGAATTGCTAGCATTCTTTGGATTGGGTATCCTGGTGAAGCTGGTCCAAAAGCACTTGCGGAAGTTATCTTTGGTGAATATAATCCAGGTTAATACTTGTAAAACTTCACTTCTATGGACTTAAAAACAAAACATTTCTACTGCATTTTTAATATAACCTAATTAAATGCTGGAACTTGAATTTGATAGAAAGGCTAGACTCTGCATGCAACAAGTCATTTTCTTTAGAGTTAAGACGTTATAATGGTCTTGAAACTTAAAGTTCAGTATATTTCGACTTCGAGTACCACAAAGAATAGTTTGTGCTTAGTTGTTTTTTTTTTTCTCTTTCTTTCTAATATTCCGAACTTGCAACTTTACATCCCTAGAGATAACTCCAGTATCATTGAAGCAAAGCTTATTAGTTGGGATTGGTGTGCTTTCTTGTTCTAATGCTGAACATTGGTTTGACATCTGCATTCTGGAATTACAGGCGGAAGACTTCCAATGACTTGGTATCCTGAGTGGTTCACCAAGATACCAATGAATGATATGCGCATGCGAGCTGATCCTTCCCGTGGATATCCAGGAAGAACATATCGTTTTTACACAGGAAATCGAGTATATGGATTTGGTGAAGGCTTAAGCTACTCTAATTATACTTATAAGTTCTTGTCAGCACCAAGCAAGTTGAGTCTGTCAAAATCTTTGACAGCTACCTCAAGAAAGAGAATACTGAACCAGAGCGGAGGAAGATTCAATTATATACATATTGACGAGATGAACTCTTGCAATTCTTTGACATTTTATGTGCAAATATCTGTCACAAATGCTGGAGATATGGATGGAAGCCACGTTGTGATGTTGTTCTCTAGAGTGCCAAAATTTTTTGAAGGCACTCCAGAAAAACAACTTATTGGATTTGATCGTGTGCATACTAGTTCACGAAAATCTACTGAAACAAGCATCTTCATTGATCCTTGCAAAGATCTTAGCATTGTAAATGAGCAGGGGAAAAGGATAATGCTGTTGGGTGATCATGTTCTGTTGTTAGGAGATTTAGAGCATTTTGTTACAATTGAAGCTTATTAATGCCATCCATTGTTCAATTTGTATTATTTGAATATGTTGAAATGCCCAAATATGTCCTTGTTCTCTGTATGTTTGTTTTAATTAATTGTCACATTTTTTTTTTTTTTTTTGAAAAAAAAAAAGACTTAAAATTTACAAGGACGCGCCACAAAGACCACAACAACAATACGATCTTGGGGCCATATCCTGAAAGTGTTCACCAAGACTCCAATGAATGATATGCCGATGCGAGCCTCTGATCCTTCCCGTGGATATCAGGAACGAACATATCGTTTTTACACAGGATCGAGTATATGGATTTGGTGAAGGCTTAAGCTACTCTATTATACTTATAGGCTAGTTTTTTAAAGTCAATTTGACAAAAAGTCAAAGTTGAGATTCTCTGCTAAAATCTTTGGACAGCTACCTCAAGAAAGAACGAAATAATCTACGAAACCAGAGCGGAGGATTAAGATTCAATTTTTATCTAATACATATATTGACGGAATGATGAACTGCTTATTGCAATTATGAATTTTGACATTTTATGTGCAAATTTCAAGGGTCTGTCACAAACTTAGCCTGAGAGGGACCCAAATACTGGATGCGAAGCCACAAGTTGTCGATGTTGTATGTCTCGCAGACTAGATTGTATGTCCAAAATTAATTTTTTTAATGGACAACTCATCAGAAAACAACAACTTAATGATTGATCGTGTGGCATACTAGTGTAACAATCTATTTAAGCAAAAATCATTAACTGAAAAAGCCAAGCATCTTCTATTGATCCTTGCCAAAAGATCTTAGCATTGTTAAAATGAGCAGGGGAAAACGAATTAATGCCTTCGTTGGGGTGACTCTCTCATGTTCTTTGAACATTAGTTAGGACATGATAATTGTAGAGCCACATTTTTGTTACATATTGAACGCTTATTAAATGGATGTTCCATCCATTGTTCAAATTTCGTTATTTATTTCGAAATATGTTGAAATGCCCAATATGTCCTTGTTCTGCTGTATGTTTGTTTTGAATTAATTGTCACAATTTTTTTTTTTTTTTGTAAAAATTTTTTTTTTTTTTTTTGAAAAAAAAAGATTAAGATATTACCTCAGTCAAATATAAACATGAGTCATATTTTATATATGGGTCATAAGGCCAAGGAGTCAGGAATCCCCGTTTCTGGCCATATTTGCTAATGGAGAATTTTTCCATTCAGAAATTTTTTTTTCTGGATTAATATATTTAGTTTTAGTGAATTACAAGTAAACTTCATGAGGTCTAATACCTTGAAAATTGTCAAGAATTACATCATTATATGTGCTATTAAATATATCGCTCTATATAAAAGTAATTAGACACTGATTCAACTTGCGATTGCAAAATTTTGTCTTCAGAAAGTTCTTTGATATTGTCCAGTGTAATAATCAGAAAGTTCTTTGATATTGTCCAGTGTATTAAGTGCACGTTTGAATCCTCTTTATCAATACTCGAAAAAAAAAAAAAAAAAAAAAAAAAAAAAAAAAAAAAAAAGATAGTGAAAAAAAAAAAAAAAAAAAAAAAAAAAGATAAGTGTAAATTTTTATTTTTTGAAGATAAAATTCAAATGCATTAAATATCACAAAAAGTTCAACAAAAAAGCAGGAACCGAAGTCCAAACTTTGAAACGAGCAATTGAATGTGAAGCCTTGCGGGAGAGTGCAATCACATTTTCTCGTCCATCTAACATTTAGATTATACCTACGTGATAAAATTGTCTTACAATACAGAATTACCAAGCCAAATTCAGAATTATCTACCATAGCATAGCAGAGTGAAGACCAAACAACACATTTCGAGAATCGTAGTCATAGATTGAGCCAGCAGAATACCAATTTAACTCGATCCAAAGTAAATAAAAGTTATAGCAAATTTTTATGATAATAATAAATTAAAGTGAAAAAGTAGATTCTTACAGAAATGATATACTACTGTGATAATAATAAATTATTGATGCTTCCATTTTGGCTAGCATATTAATATTATCTTCTCTCTTTTTTATTTTTTATTTTTTTATAATGTTATTTAGCTTTTTGCCCATTACCATAATAATCCAATTTGGCAATTTGAAACCAAATCACAACTCAGTTGTGATGTAAAGCCCAATTGCATGAGACCTTCAGAGAAATTCCACCATCTTGTCAGTTCTTGACTACTACGACAGCAACACAATGATTCCCTTTCTTTTCTAAAAGAAATTTCAAATTAAAGTCTTCCTTTTCATGTTTTTAGTAAATTAAAGTTTTATTTTTGTAAGCACGTACATACCAAATCCACTTCCATGTTTATCGACAAACTGCCCTCAAAAACGTACCTAATCAACAATTCTCTTCTCAACCCACCCAATAGGGTGGCTTTGCTGACCTATCACTTGGCCCACAACTAAAGGTCTTTTTTTAATATTATAATAATATTGGGTTGCAATTTTCATTTACCTATAAAATTTATTTTTTAAGTTTTATTAACGATCATTGCCATTACCCACCTCTAACTTACATGTCTATCTTTTTTTCTTTGGCCACCCATGTTCCATCTTTTCTGCAGGCTGCAGCTAAGGCAATAAATCTTTGTCACGCGGAAAAAAAGAGTGGAAAATTTTCAGTTTCAACTTTGGGTAGTTTAGCGAGTATTATAATTTTGTGTACTCTATCCTATTAAATTAGTAAATGAATATTATTTAAATGGTGAATTATTATTTTTTATATAATTTATAATATTATTAATATTATCTCATCTTTAATAAGTTAAATAAATAAAATAACTTTTTATCATACTTACATATCAAATTATATCGGTGTTATTAAGTGAATGGATTTTCAATTTAATTAATAAGTTAATAGCTCAATTAGTAAATTATTATATTTATTAATTTAAAATAAAAATAGTTGGATTCATTTAATCTAAAATAAAAATTAGTTCGAATCTGTGCAAGTTAATTTATATTAAAGGAGAGTGCCCGTATACAATTTCCAGCGAGAAAATAAACAGAGTCCAATAAAGGCATTGAGAAAGAAAGAGAAAGGAAGAAAAGAAATTAAAAAAAAAAAAAAGGGAAAAGCAACAGAAAGAATAACTTTTAGAAAATACAAATTTTTAACAAAATAAAATAAAATACAGTGATGATGTGGTGGAAACTAAAAAAGCTAGAAGGTACTAACTTCCTGTGGAAATGTCTTTGAAGGTGCCAATCGCAAAAGTTAGTCTCTGTTTTTGATATAAAACCAAACTGCAGAGTCCACATTATTGCAACGACTTCTCCTCCATAAACTCGAATTTCTTGTGGTTTCTGCCTCCAAAGTTTCCATACACAATCTTTGTCTTGTTTGTGTTTGCTTTTCAAAGATGAGCGACCCCAAGTATGCTTATCCTTACCCTGCTCAAGGTACCACTTCCTTGATTATGCATTCTTTTTTTATGTTAGTTTCTTTCTTCGTGAGGTGTCCAGGTTGCAAAAGAAGTTATGGGTTTTGCTTCGTTTTTGTAAAGATTGGTTCTTTTGTCTGCTTCAATTTAATTTTCTTTAGAGGAATCGTTGTTTGTCCTTAAAACTTCCGCCTTTTAAATTTTTTATCAGGCTTTCTCTTTTGATAATATGAATTGTGAAAGTTTATTATTATTATTATTATTATTATTTTTTGCCACAAGAAAAAGAAGAAAATAATTTTTTTTTTTTTTTGATAAATTTCTTTTCTTGGGTGTTCTAATTTGTGTTGGCAGGTTATTATCAAGGACCTCCAGTCATGGCACCCCCACAATATCAATATGCTCCTCCACCCAGAAGAGAGCCTGGTTTTCTTGAAGGATGGTAATTTCTCTAACCATATGATAGTCTCCTTTTTTTTTTTTTTTTTTTCATATGAAATAGTCATCACTTCCTTTTTTTTTTTTTTTTTTCATCTCTGGGTTTCCCTTGAAAAACTAGTTAAAGTTTACATTTTTGATTCAAGAAATTAGTTAGCCTTTGTTTTGGAGATATGATTTATTCTTAATTTATTTATTTTCACTTTTTGTGGAGTGCAGCCTTGCAGCTTTATGTTGCTGTTGCCTTATTGATGAGTGTTGCTGTGACCCATCCATCATCTTTATTAGCTGATACAAAATCTGTAATTTCTTCCACAAATGATTCTACTTGGTGTGATATAAATATAGTGTATGATGGGTGGTATTATTTGTCCTGGAACATTTCTATCTAATTCTCTTATCATTCTAATGTTCAAGTCCTTTTACTATGGATCTCCTTTTGATCTTTGTTTGTGTACTGAACGTTACAACAATTTATATCCTTTTCCATTTCCCTTTTCTAACTCTTGCATTTCTGTTCTCCTCTCTTTTCAAATTTATGCTATAATTAATTCTCTGAGCTCATCTTTTATATAGATGAATTTGTAAAATGTGGATAGCTGGAGTAGGTATAGGGAGTCAAATAAATTAATTTGGAACTTATTTCTTGTGCTAATCTTTTCTTTTAATTCAAAATGAACTGGGAGGGATTTCTTGTTCTGTATAATAGTGATTGGTTTGGGGAATTATATTCACAATCCAGAACTGTACAGTTGTGGACAAGAATCTTAGTTAAGATAAGAGGTGAGGCATTTGGGTCCCATTTCCTTTGAATTTTTTGAGTTGGAAAATGATGAAAGTAATCAACTTTGGCATTTGGGTGTTCATTTTTTTCAAAATTGTGGATCTGTTTTAGACGGACAAGTAAGTTTAGATAATGGGTTTTTAATTAGCTGATGAAAGTTTTCTTTTGATTTGAGTTGAAGAAACTAAAAATGAAAATGTTGCATTTGCTAGTTGATATGTCTATGAAAGAAAATGTAAATTAAGATGCTCTGTTTGGTGCCGCCTGAGCTAATATAATCTGCTCGGAGCATTTGGAGTTTGATTAGAACATGTTGACACTTCAATCTCCTTTTCTAATTTTGAACTATTCCTCAATGGGTGCTAATTGGTTAAGAGGAAACCTTCCTTGCTGTCAAGGTAAAATCTAAAACCAAAGAAATCACGATGAACAGTAACACCATCCGTTATTAGTTGTGTAAAAATATATGAATTCTAATAAAACAAAAAATTCCCCTTGTGGGGTTGTGTTGCTCTTAATGGGTTTTGTAACAGGTTGAACTCCTAATAGGCTTTCAAATTATTACAACCGATGCCGATAATATATGGCGTAAAATATTCATGGTATATAATATGACAAAAAAAAAAAAAAAAAAAAAAAAACGATAATAATATGGCGTAAATAATTCATGGTAATAATAATATGAAAAAAAAAAAAAAAAAAAAAAAAAAAAAAAAAAAAATTGAAAGGAATTACATGGACATGACATGTATAACACATTTACTTGGGATAATAACACGTTTGTAATTCAACTTCTCGCATGATCCATTTTTAAATCCTGTAATAAATGAATTAAATGGGTTAATTCATTTATGACACGAATTTAATAAAGCAAATTCTAATACATTAATTTTGTGGATTATATTAACTTATTATTTTGATTTATTTGAGTGTTGTAGCTAAATCAACACTCGTTTATTTATAAATTCTTTAAGCCTGTATATTGTATTAGGCACGTTATTGCCCATAAATGGAAATATAATACTTATTCCGTTCCAAAAAAGTAGTTCACTTTATATTTTCACAAAGATCAAGAAATACTCATTCAGTTTTTTTTACTTGAGAGAAAATTTTCATTTTGGGTGTTTATTTTAGATAGAGAATTTTACTTTAAATGGAAATTTTGGGAATAATACCAAAAGAAAAGTCTAAAATGCTCTTCAATAACCATATTATTGCCTTTATTTCGGTTCAATTAATAAGAATATTGGCAAACAAAATGTGGTTTGGGTAATTAATGAGTTTATATTTCCAAAATATGAGTAATTGCTACGTTTATGAGCATGTGCTCAACTTTACAAATTGAAGCATAAATAAGAGTCTTGGATCGGTCACGTACCTTAATATGGCCGCACATTTTAATTATTGCGCGTTAATAATAAAAAAAGTCTTTATGGCAGAAGAAGTGTGCTCAACTTTACATGTGGACATGAATATGACTTTTTTCTTGGAAAGTTTTCATAATGCAGTCACAGATTTGTATTGTTGTATTTACCTCTAAAATTGCCTTTAAATTGACACTACACCTTACTAATATCGACACAAATTTTTGTCATAGTGAAGAAACTCAATGCCTTTCTTTCTAGACTTACCATATAAAGAAGATGAGTTTGCCATTTCTGAGGACAACTTTCTATTTACTAGTGCCCTATTTTTGAAAATGATGTAAATCTACTAAATTGAAGTTGAGGAAACTCTTGCAATCCTCAAAGATTTTGACTAATAAATTCACCCTTGAAATACTCTAGTAATTAGTTGTCTTTCTGACTATTAATTATGCATTCAAAGCTGATTAGGGGTATTATTGACAAAAAAAAAGATAAAAATTTATATTTAACTACTTTCTTGATAAGAGTTTTTTCTGTTTTCTTTAAAGTCAGAGAATGAAGGTAGTAACAATTATTATGATTAAAAGATAATTTTATTTATATAAATTTCCGATTATGTCTATATTAAATAACATATGAGCAATTATTACTTCCTTTGTTCCAAAATATAAGTCGTTTTTGGGTGATTCTCATGTCCCAAAATATAAATCGTTAGGGTAATAAATGATGTCTTTCCTATATTACCATTATTTACATTAAATACAATAAACATTTTTACAAAACTATTGGTTGAGATAAATGATAATTTAGTTAAATTCCTCTTCGACTTTGTTATAATCTAAGAGAATTAATTGCTTCCTTAATTCTTGTACAAAAATTTTAAACAACTTGTATTTTAAGACAGAGAAAGTATATTAGAATAATAAGTAACAATTAATGAGGTTTATCGAAAAATAAGATAAAACCAATAATGGTAATATTTTTTCGTAATAGTTTAAAGAAGTATAAACATTAAACGAAATCAACGGATTAATGATTTGTTTGATAATAGTGCGAGTTTAATTAAACAAAGAGAGTTCAAATGAAGTTGGGATTTATATAATCTATTGAAATTCAGAACTGAATACAACTCAAATATAAATCAAATACATACTGATTTTCATGAGTAGTTTTAAGAAATCTGAGTAAAACACAAACATGCACACTGCCAAGTTTCTTTGAATATACAAGTAGCGGATGAAAAGAAACAGAAAAAAGTGGAAGCAGTACCAGCGTGCTTTGTGTAATACAAGGCACTATATGCAGTGAACTTTATTCCTTTGTTACTACTTCACAACACAACACTGTGATTGAGAAGCTTATTAGGATTTTTATTTTTATTTTTTTTTGAATTTTAAGTTTTTCTATTTCTTAATGATAATTTATCAATTTCATAAGGATCAAGCAACTACTGCCCCAGCCACCATCATATGTGATTCTATGGGGCAAGTCTCGTTATGGGAGTCATCAACATTGCTTTCATATGTTTTCTCACCACAACCACCTCCACAGCCACCTCCACAGCCACCACTCTTCAACATGCTTCCACATCCACCACCACAACCACCACAACCACTACCGCAACCACCACTCTTCACTATGCTTCCGCATTCACCACCACAGCCACTGCCGCAGCCACTGCCGCAGCCTCCGCTCTTTACCATGTGTCCGCATCCAGAACCACAGCCACTGCCACAGCCTGCACTTTTTATTGCGTCCGAATTCAACTCCATTTTATTTTTTATAGTACTTTGTTTGATTTGTCTGGCATCATAATCTAATCCGCTGACATTTTCCACATTACCATTTAACTCCAAACTTTCTCCAGCAACAATGAAGCCCCCATATCCTTCAGCCTTCAAAATATCAGTAAGTATAAAGGCTGAAATGATTGCAGGCAACACCAACCATTCTTCTTTCACCTGTTAATTTGTTTTAAATTTAAGGAAATGAACCAGGGCAAGATCAGGCTCTAGCTAGGAATTTCACTCAAATTTGACGAGAAGGCAATGTCATACCTTGACAGACCCAGACTTCAAGTCGAGCAACGCTACTGCTTTGCCATATGGATCCTCTGCAGAAAATTCAACTGCAGTCATAAACTCCTGTTCATTTCTCTGCTTCTCAAAGTGTTTGGGCTCGAAATCCAGTTTTCTGCCCTGAAAAATTTTTATCTGTAACAAGAAGATCAGTACAATGAATGATCTGATCACCACTTGGACCAGAACAAAGAAGACTATGCTCAGCCGAAGAAAATTACAAAATAAATATGTAAACTTGTAAAGGACTGCATATATATACTGAAAGCATGTGAATGTTATCAAAGTTGAGAAGACAAATATGCAACGTAATACAACCAAATCGCAAGCTTCTGGATCAGTTTGACAAACCAAAATGGAGAGATTTCCATGATATAAACAGAAGCATCATTTGTTACCAAATGGATAGAATTATCCATGATTGAAAAGAAAATTTATGAATAAGAATGCATTAAATTCACAGAATATGACCCTCAAAGGAAACAACTGACAGGGAAAAAAAAATTATTACCATCCTACTGCCCATGAGCTCAAAGAGATGACCATCATCATTGGATTTTGTTTTAGGCTGAAGGCACCACTGAGAATCCATCAAAGACCACTGAGTCCCCATAAATTCTGCAAGTATATCTGTTTCACTTGATTTCGTAGCTCCAATTACTTGTTTCTTAAGAATGCCCTGGTCTTTCACCTTTGACTTTGTTGAGTCCCTGGAACATAACTAAGGCTTCAGAATATATGGTAACATACAGCCACTGATATCACATACCATCAGGAAGATGCTCAAACTTAATAAGCATAAATTATTACCAAAGGATTCTAATGATCCATCTAGCATAAATTCCAATGAACACCAACCAAAAGGGTAAGTTCACTTGATTTAGGAAATATAAACTAAAGACCTCTACAGAAGTATACAATAACTCAGCTAAATTACCAATTTACTATGTTGATTTTCAATTTGAGTTTTGGAGAACACGTGAGAAATATATCAATTAGTTTGTCTTTTATGCACCCATAACATTTGAACATTAGATTTGCCTGATATTTAAGTTTGGGTCTGTTTTAGGAGCAACAGTTAGTATTGGAGTAATTTAGTGCTAGTATATGTAATTTTACTCAACACGCAAAGACCTAAAAGGTAGTGTGAAATGCATTTGTTAACAAAAGACATAGGCATGAGGATACCTCATTTGAAGGCTGATGATCTCAGTATCATTTTCAACAATGATGTGTGTCCAGCTATTATCATGTTGAGCCCTTCCAGGAAGAGGGAAAAAACAAGAACTTTTTGAGAATGATCGGGGATGAACCATGTGCAGAACATGTGGTGCTTGAACGGGAACAGTAAATGAGACAGCGATTCTTAAGCAAATTGGCTTCGAGCTCACATTGCCAGAAATGGGCAGTAATTCTACCCATTTTTCCACAGCAAGTTTAGAAACTGGATTTAGGAAGTCTTGCAAAGATAATGAAGCAGTGCCCAGTGTTTTAAATGCCTTGGCTACGAGTAAATTGGAAGGTGAATGTGAAACAAGTTCAAAGAGCAGATTTCCCTTAGGTTCACACTGGAAAGAAGCAACCTGTTTCTCTTTTGATTCTGACAGAATAGTTAATTTCCGCTTAACATTAAAGAATACATCTGGCTGGTTTTTACTAAAAGTAACAAAGAGGGATCCCTTGTGTCCCTGTGGTAAGTTTTTAACTCCCACAATCTCCAGAAGGACCTGAAGAAGTAATAAAACAAACAGGATATATCAGAAAAATAATTGCTTTAATCATGTGGAATTATCAACTAGTATAGATAAACAGACACTACATGGGAACTGAATCCACTGGTGTGATAGTAAAAGAGCTGAGCTGAGTATCATCAAGCTCATGTAAAGGTTGCGTACCTAATTGAGCTTAAATTTTTTTAATCAATTTATGTTATAAATTTAACAATTCACTCAACAAATTATAATATATATGCTAAAAATAAAATAGTACTTATATTTTTTTATGATAAATGTGTAACATTTAATTATTATATTATATTTAAAATTATTCTTTTAGCAGTTAATTTTTTAAAAATATATTAATGCATAAAAACTGCTCCCTCCTTCCCATAATTCTTATCATAATTTACTTTTCATTTGTCCCAAATTTTAGTCCTGTATCCTTTTTTAGAAAAAGAGAATTTTTTAAGTTACTTATTCTATCCTAGTCATTAATTATCATATAATAACATGAATCATTTAATTATTAATAAAAAGAAATATTAGTAAAATACTAAGTAAAAATTACAGTTTAATCATATTAGGTATATTTTCCTAAATTGAGACAAACATAATGGGAAGGAGGGAGTATAAACAAATCTACATATTATCTTAAAGTAGATATATAATTAAATTATATAAGAGTTCACTTGCGAGTCTACAACAAGCCGCTCACGGACCTAGACAAACTGAGCTTTGTGTAGTTCAGGCTTCAAAACAAGCTTGAGTGAGCTTTCACTTAGCCGAGTCCCAAGTAGCTCATGAATGCATGGGCCATTTACAGTCTAAGTAATTGCCCCTTAAACTACCTTTTATTTGATTGAGATTCCCAGCTTATCGGCAGTAGAAGATTTCTGAGTTCATAGGTGTCTAATGACATGAAATGCTAACCAAGTTTAAGCACAAAAGGTTGACATCAGCACCTACTTTTAACTTCCCTCTGGATTGATATTCATAAAAGCAAGAGCGTAAAATGGTTAAACAATAAGAAAGTTGATCGGAAAATACCTCCACAACCTTCACCTCTGGGAGTTGAGTCATCTTCTGAAAGTCATTCGATGCTACTACATCTTTTCTCAAGGTAATTGGCTGGAAAGGAATGGTTGTGAGAGGTGATGGCGAACTTCCTTTATACATTACACCTGCCTTCCAATACCTTAAGCCAAACGTCTCTTCCCACTGCTTCGTAGTTCCAGAAAATCCAGCATCCAGCTTCTTTCCTTTGGTCCTGTCTGAATCCATGTCATCATGCTCCAATATCTTCCCAAGTGCTTCCCCTAAATCTTTACAGTAGGCACTGGGATGCAACTGGTGTGTATGCCAGATAAGATCAATGTCATAAGTTGGAACACAAAAACGTTGAATGGACCTTTCCCTGTTTCTCTTAATTAGATACAGAAAACCCTTATATCTGGCCACAGCTTCTTCAATAAAAACATCATTGTTCATATGGGGTCTAGATACCTGTCATAAATAAAAGTAAAAACACATACATTAAGATAGATGATTAGAAGACGAACCGTGAGATATTCATGTGCAGGTGTGCTAAGCATCATCCATGACTTTTCTAAAATTTGCAGCCATGCATGCAAACTACATTATCTTACAAATGTATAGTGTTTTTAACTTCTTAATGGACATCATAACATGCTATACTTGTACTGGGTGATAGAATTCAGATTATTCAAAGTTCTATTAAGAATAAAAAAAATTTTCATAAATATTACTTCTTTTTATATGTTATTATGCTAGAGAAGAATTAGTCCAAATAAACACTTGAAAGTAAAGAACTTTTCCAAGAATCATCACTTATTTATTTAATAATATTTCTTAACTGAGCTGATTTCAACATCAAGGCATGCTAAATACTTGCAAATCTTTATAATGTTGCTAACAAATAAACTAATCCAATTAAGTCAACCATGGAGGTGGCCATGATGCATGGAGTGTCCCACGCAAATTTTACTAAATTAATCCTGTTGGTGTTTGCCATATTTTAGTAGCCAGTCAAGTGACCATCTCAATTTAAAATACAGTGAATATCATACAAAATATGATTTCAACACAACTATTCTTGCCATATAATCTCAGCTGTTTAACAGATTTTCAATAAATTCAAAAGATTGTAACCTAGGAAGATGGGGAAAAAAAAAAATCTTTTGATACCTGGTAATAGAAAGGACTCTGCCTTTTAACTGCTGAAACCAAATCATATTTGGTGCATTTTTCAGTTGCCAATGACTTTTCGTTGGCAGCTGCCGACAATGATCTCGTCAAGTTAAAGACATAAGGTTCATCTGGATACATCCTATTCCAAATTTCTTCAGTTTGCTTTTTGCAAATTCCTTTAATGGAAGATACAACATTAGAGTTGTCCAGTACCCTTCCATAAAGCTCCTCACAGTCAGTTTTGTATCTTACCTGTCAAAGCCAAGAAACAGAAATTAGCAACTCAACATAAAAAGCAAGCAATTTGTAAATTCATATCTATATAATGTTTTGATTTAGAGTCCTACTGGGTTGAGTCTGTGACAATGCCAAACCCATTCACAATCCAGAGGAACAACCAGTGGCCCTTCAGAAACTGGGGACTCACAATGTGTGGCAAGCAAGGGAAGCCAGCAAGCATTATACCTGAAATTGACACTCCAAAGATCGGAATTTTAAAACAAACATTTCACTTCCAATCAGATCTGATATGGAAAGAGAAGCCACATAATTACTAAACAAATCAAATAACCAAAATTTAAATCCATGACTATTCCTGATAAATATTCACACGCATTAGGGAAAGAATAACATTCCCATTTAACTTAAAGGTGGAGTCGAAACTCTTTTCTAACTTTGAAAATTATTTCAAACATCAAGTACACCACCAGATACAGATATACAATTGATATTATAAAATTATGAGCAATTCTTAACTTAAATACCCTCCGATTCCCAGAATTAACTTATGCTGTGAAATAGCATAAGAAAAATAGAAATCTGATCATATCATTCTACATTGACATACAAAAATCGAATACCAGAAAAAATCAAAAATAAAGATGAACCCAACCCATAAAAATGGAGCTGAAGGAAATTTGATTATCAGGTGCATACCTATAGATGGCGCGTTCAAGAGTAGGGCCTTCATAGAGACATCGATTCTTATCAACAGCAGCAAGGAACTGAAGCTGCTGTTTGGCTGCAGCCAGAAGGTCAATACTTATTGATATCTTTTGTGCTGCAAGCCATTCTAACTCTTGTTCCTTCTCCATCTCTCAATTATTACCTAATTGAATAATTAATCAGCAACACAGGCTCTGTAGAATTAATGAAAATTAAGGATTATCTTTGTTTGAGCTTTTTTTTCATTTGAACTTGATAATATATTATAATTGAATTAAAGATTAATTATCTAGTCATTAGGATTATGAAAAAAAGAAAAAGAAAAAATTCATTAAGGAATGAAAGGAAAGTAAAAGAAAAGTCAAATTGAATATGGTCTATTCAACATTAGCGCGTTTACAAGTTCCAAACAGAGAAAACTTCAGTGCTTTTTCTTTCCAACCAAACACAATTTGAACATTCTATGCGCTCAAATTCATGTATCAGAAACAAAGTAACTACTTCAAACATTACCAGAAAGTGCAGAGATCTTTCGGTTTTTCAGTCACCGAAGAGACCTAGGGATCGGAGATCGCGAGGAAAATGCTCCGGCGAGAGTGGTAATTTTACGTTTAATTAAGTTATTGACTATAGAGAGGATTTGATGGAAGTTCTTGCTAGTTGCTTGTATTGGACAATGAAGACTGGTACTTATAGTTGCTAGATAGATGCAGTACTTCGTACTACCAAAGAAGCCATTTAAAAGGACCAAAATGAAAAAATGTATTTTAAATGATTCACACGGACAAGCATTATACATGGACGGAATAACTAATAAAAATTTTAAATAATTAAAAATTACTTATAAAAGATAAATTACAAAATATCCTCAATAATTATTTGCAGAAAATTGTAATTTCATATTTTTAAAAACTGCCTTATCCTGACTTTAAAACAAAATAATATTTTCAAACTGTTTCTTGTCATTTTCCATTATTGTATGTATATGACAAAGAGACAAAGGAGTTGCAGATGAGATCATTTGCCATTTTTTCTAATGTATGATTGAATTTTTAGAAACAGAACAATGAATAAGAAACGTGAACAAAGATTGATACATAAGGGTTGCTTATTGTGTTATGCAGGACAAAAATTAAAAAAAAAACAAAATGGTATTATATGTCTTAGCAATTACTTGTACGAAACGTTTAAAGAGGGTTTGTTTTATTATAGTACAAAAAAGAAGTGTAGTACCATATTGATTTAGTACTAACTAAATCAATAGGCAGTGCAGAACTTGTGCTAAGGGAGCTTTTAACTGCAATTGGCAACTGCAAGAAAATATGTTTATTTGAGATAGTTTTTACTTTCTATTAGCATATACATATGCATATGCAAGATTTGAGCTCAACTTGTCAAAAGTACACTTGGATTTGAAGTCTCAAGGCTCTTACTTGATTTGATTTAAAAAAATCTAAGTTAAGCTTCACTCATTTAGAGTTTGTAGTAAAAACAAAATTTTGCTAATTGATATATTCAAATTCAAGTTTGACTCGGTAAGCTCTTCCATAGTTTATTTAAAATGAACCGTTCGAAATCTCTTTTTAGTGAACTATAAACCTAAGAAATTTACTAAACATTCTTGTTGAAAGTTGAAACAACCACAGCCTTCAAACAAGAATATGTGGTTATTCCAGTTGCACACTTCACAAGTTATGTTAAATATTTGAAAGTTCTAAAAGAAGAGAGAAAAAATTGCTGACTTCACCAGACAAATTTTAATCATCATAAATATGTGAACGCATTTTAACATTGAACAAGAGAAAAAAATGCTGAGCTCCATTGGACATTAGTTCTTCAAGAAATCAAGATGAATGAAGAGAAAATGAATAGAAACTTATACAAAGCATATGACTTAGTGAAGATCAAAACTTTAAGATAGACCTCAAGCTATGAAATAAAAAATTATACGAGAAAAGACACAAAATGTATCATTCTCTATTTCCTGGCCTCCTTATATTCTGCTTCTGGGGTTTGATCTCCTCCTTGAGATCCTTCAGAAGGAGTAGAGCCTTTAGACATATGCTCTCCAATCTTTGAAACAGCCTTATTTGCATTGTCAAGCTTTGCCTTGATTTCATCAATATTTTCACCAACCAATGATGTTCTCAAATCTGCAACAGCAGTCTCTATCTCTGCTACGATCTCACCTGGAATCTTGTCCCTGTATTCTCCTAAGCTCTTTTCGATGCTGTATATGGTTGTATCAGCACTATTTCTCAAATCAATCAAAGTTTTTCTTTCCTGGTCTTTCTGGGAATGCATCTCAGCCTCCTTTACCATTCTTTCAATCTCATCGTCTGAAAGACCTGAAGATGATTTAATTGTAATTTGCTGCTCTTTCCCTGTTGCCTTATCCTTGGCCGAAACAGTAACAATTCCATTGGCATCGATGTCAAATGTCACTTCTATCTGAGGCATTCCTCTAGGTCCAGGGGGGATACCGGCAAGCTCAAACTCACCCAGAAGCTTGTTGTCAGCTGCCATTTGACGCTCGCCTTGAAGCACTTTAACTCCTACCTGAGTCTGATTGTCGGATGCTGTAGAGAATACCTGGAATGACAATTGGCACATAAGATTTTATCATTATCAGAACTACATTTAAACTAGAAAGACACGTGCTCCTGCTACATTCTTGTGCAAATATAGTTAAACACTACAGCATAAGAAACTTCTTGATTAGGTGCCCATGCCCTAGTAAGCTTCAAATTGTTTAAGCTCCAAAAGTTCAAGCCCAATTTATATGACAAACAAGAAATGTTCTCATAATAATAGTTGCTAATGCATTTTAATATGCATCCAATCAAGACTGATATAGAAAAAGTAGGTAAAAAAAAAAATCTCTTCTCAAGTGTCCAAAATATACGGTGGTTTCATGATTCAGGTAGCAAGCTGGATATACAAAAACAAATCCATTATGCAAACTAAAACTTCGAGTAATGTTTGGTCAAATATGGAGCTCTCATACTACGTCTGTTTTTGCTCACAGGCAATTCAATTTAGAGTTTATATGTTGTTTTTCAGAAGGGAAGCTAGTATTCCATTATAAAGTAATAGTAAATGCAGCAATTTATAGCCCTTTTTACCTTCAATATAATATTTCAAGATTATTAAAGCAAAAAAGATACCAACCTGAGATTTCTTTGTCGGGATGGTTGTATTTCTGTTGATTAACCTGGTGAAAATTCCACCAAGTGTTTCAATACCAAGTGACAGAGGAGTAACATCTAGCAGGAGAAGTTCCTTAACATCACCACGAAGGATACCTCCTTGAATTGCAGCTCCCATTGCAACTGCCTCATCAGGATTAACCCCTTTGCTGGGGTTCTTCCCGAAAATTTCAGCAACTATCTGTTGCACCTTGGGAACACGGGTCATCCCTCCGACAAGCAAAACTTCATCCACATCATTGATAGATATACCAGCATCCTTCAAACAGTTCTTGCATGGGTTTTTCGTCCTGTCAATTAAGTGATTCACCAAACCCTCAAACTTTGATCTGGTTAAAGTCATATTAAAATGTTTTGCCCCAGAAGCATCAGCAGTTATAAATGGCAGGTTGATATCAGTCTGTGATGTAGATGAGAGTTCAATTTTGGCCTTTTCAGCTGCTTCCCGGAGCCTTTGCAGAGCAAGCTTATCCTTTGACAGGTCAATTCCCTCAGTGGTCTTGAATTCACTAACTAAGAAATCCAGTAAAGTGTTATCAAAGTCTTCACCTCCCAAGAAGGTGTCTCCATTTGTTGCTTTGACCTGAAAAAGAGACATTACCGACTTGGACAAAGAAAAGATTTAACAAGCAAATATCTACGTAAATAACAAGATACACACCTCGAATACACCATTTGAAATTTCTAAAATGGAAACATCAAAAGTTCCACCTCCAAGATCAAAGACTGCAATGATACCTTCCTTATTATTTGAACCATAAGATAAAGCAGCAGCAGTTGGTTCATTAATAATTCTCAGAACTTCTAAACCAGCAATTCTCCCAGCATCTTTTGTTGCTTGACGCTGTGCATCATTAAAATAAGCTGGAACTGTGATCACAGCTTTGGATACTGTTTTCCCAAGATATGCCTCTGCAGTTTCTTTCATCTTGGTGAGAACAAATGCACCAATTTGGCTTGGGGAATATTTTTGTCCGTTGGCTTCAAGCCATGCATCTCCATTGGGAGCTTGAACAATCTTATATGGAACCATGTTTATTTCTTTCTGTGTCTGGGGATCATTGAATTTTCTTCCTATAAGACGTTTGGTTCCAAAAAGTGTGTTTGTTGGATTTGTCACAGCCTGACGTTTGGCCGGCGTTCCGACGATCAACTCATTATCTTTGCTGAAGGCAATGACTGATGGTGTGGTCCTAGACCCTTCAGCATTTTCAATAACTCTGGCATTCTACGCAATCATATTACAAAATTGAGTATAATTACCAAGGTAGCATGAAAGGAATTTCAATTAACTTGTGATAGATGACAAAAAAAACAAGTGAACAATAGGGCAACGGACCTTTCCTTCCATCACTGAAACACATGAATTGGTGGTACCCAAGTCAATACCAATAACTTCATTGGCAGGAGGTCTTGAACTGCATCATCAACAAATAAAAGTTTCAGCAACTGATAACAGCAATGAGACGAAGCAAAGTGAAAAACAATAGCAGTACCTAAAAGGTCTGGCCAACAATGTCCATTTGCTAACCAAAGGTGATGAGGCCAATGATGTCTTTGCATTTCCAGTCAACTGCAGCAGCATACATGAGTTATCAATTACCTTTGGCATCCAGTTTCAATTTACCACTACAATGACATTAAGATCCCATTGCAAAGAATATCACATTGCATTTCATAGAATTATGATTATTGAATGATCCTGAAACACAAGCGAAGATTCGCTATGGGTTTATAGTATTTCATTTTCACAACATGAAAACAGTATTGGTAATCCAGTTGGACGAACAATGGGTTCTAATCCAGGCTCATCCCCAAAGTACAAAAACAGAGAAAAAATAATATGAAGGTTCTTCAGCATTTTAAATAGAGTTACTTCAAATAAGAAAACATAAAGCACAACACTGTGCAAGTGCAATAATCTAATTAACAAAGCAAGACTTTTCATTCTTAAAACGAATACACAATCAAGGCAAAATCACTTTTAAAGAAAAACCAAACGTTTAGTATGTTCATCAATTTTAGCTAGCCTGTTGATTTACTGAATACATTCCAGCTTTGGGATTCTGGTGTCAATTTATAATCAACTCTTGTACTGACTTTATTTGAATGGTTTCTAGCATTAATAGATGCATAATCCCTGCTTTGCACATTTTCCTATTCTAAAACAAAAATGGGACATTAGCATTCTTTTTGGCATAATAAATAAACATCCATGTTATGTTAGCGTCTATTGATGAATAATGTATAGCATTCAGTTTAATCTTTTACACCACATTATATTCATCTAGGATTATTGTCCCTAATTTAAATGCTTTGAAATAGCATTGTATGTTGTATTGCTGATATATGAATCACAGAGCATATTTATGTAGGAAATACAAACTATAACTGATATAATTTGGGTACATTTGAACTTGAAATATTTGAATATGGAATAAATCAGATTGTGAATCTCTACAAATTTGCAACAGAAATATTGCTATCCCAACACCTAATACATCAAAATGGGTATATTCATAAAACCAACAGGTGGAGCTAAAATTGGCTAGAAACTAAACTATGAAACTCTTGGAACATTAGAAACCATCTAACTGATTACCGGACTTCACCCATTGACCACCTGATTATAAGGAGACAACAATCAGCAATCAAAACAGCTTTCAAGCCCAATCATATAAGCAAAAGCTTGAGACTCAAAAATTATAATCCAAAAGCCAAATTACACTCAATTTTCTTCACTCAGAAAAATAAATCTGCTCCTTTTTTTTTTTTTTGTGGGTTAAATGCTAAGGCATTAAAACAATAACCTAACTTGTGATTATGTACAACATAAACATAATTAGTAGCTAACTTAACACCTTAACACGGTGAAGAATCTCAACACAAACACGTACATAATACATATTATGACTAGTCTAACAAAAAATGAGAAACAGAGAGTGGGAGATAGAACATACGGATCTGTAAGCATGAAAGGTAGAAGAAGGAAGATCAGCACGCCGGAGAGAGCGGAGGAGCAGAGAAGTGGCCATTTATGGAGTATACCTTCTTTTCTGGTGTTGAGACTTGAGAAGGGAGGGGTTTAAGGCCAGGGTTTTAGGGGCTACACTTAAAACGTAAGAATTCGTGAGTTAGGGGTTTGTTTCAAATGACTGAAATGACATTTTTAGCCTTGTATTTTGAAGAACTGGGTGAGATTGGGAGGGTAAAGTGGGAAAATCGCGTAGCGTTCGTGGGCAACAAGCTAGAACGAGCAGACATTTGAAATGTTCAACATTTTAATTGTCTGTACCAACCAAAAGCACATTTTAATTGGGCTGTATAAGAGCCCATCATTTCAACCTATTGAAATTACTTATGAATTATAATTTTAAACAACATTTTTAATTTATTTATGATCAGCAGTATATTAAACTAAATGGTTTTTTTTTGACACGTACATAAAATGGTTCTCAGATAAAACTCTCTCGAACCAAGAGATTCTAAATTTCAAATCTCTTAACTAAATCGAATTATCTTTAGATTCATATTAAAAGAAAAAAGATTTAAAAAAAAAAAATCAACTTCTCAACTCCTAACCTATCTTTGATCGGATCAAGTAGACGTTTGCAACAAAGTTAACTGATTTTCACCACGGTAATGAAGTTTTTGAATCAAGCCAATTATACAATTATGATGATTTGTTAAGAATAATTTCATCTTCATATTTTAATTTTAAGAGATTGTTTTGATAAATAATCTGTCTCTGTGATAAACATTCCAGGGGTAGAAGAAACATAAAATGAAAAAATAATTATATCCAACACTGTGTTCAGCAATAACTTTAATAAATTTTAAAAACTTGAATATGATGAATTAACTTCAAAATTTGTGCAATTTCAAATGTAAGCTATACTTTAAATCCTAAATTTTGAATCCATTATTGCTGGGAAATGAACTTTAAAAATAAAAGAAAAAAAAAAAAAGATTGTCATTTTACAAATTTCTAGCGACAAAATTGCAGAATGTATTAAGCAGACTATATTCAAGTGCAAAAACAATAAAATCACTTGGATTGAGAGTACAAGGGATACAAAACTAATTCTTAAACATCTCAACCAAATAGATAATAGATGCATATAACAAATCCCAATAAGTTTAAGACTAAACATCAACTGAGCTATTAAAAGGTAACCTCTGTCTTTTTATATGATGGGAAGAATCCCCAACTCTATGGCGCCAATCCGAGGCAAATCGAGTTTACTGTCATTACCGATTCATGAAGATATAGCACATTGCAACTAGGTCATCAATGTAAGAATTCCGGTAGCAGACATCCCCAAGAGAAATGAAATAAAAACCTCACAAGGAGAATTCCTACTTAAGAAGAAATATTAGGCCTTCCACATACAGTCACAAAATCTCTTGAGAGTTTCACTTTCTCTTTGATTACATGCAGAAAAGCCTTTGGTTGTTGGCTTGACAATTATCAGTTCGAGGGTTCATCTTAAAAACTTAATTTCCAGATTAGAAGTACAACTGTACAAGAACATAGAAGAGGCATCAATAAAAACTGAATGGGACCTCATAAATCCTCTGATTGGTTTTCCTCTTCTGTTTGCGTTCGGAATGTGGTTTTATCTAAGTATTCCTCTTCGATAGTTTCTTTTAGGATGAACAGCCTTTGAATGACAACAGGTTGAGTCATTTGCTTGGCTTCCCTGATGTCAGTTTCCTCTTTATTGAGATGGTATGCGTCAAGCATGATCTTTATCCACTTATGCAGTTCCTTTGGAGTACTGCCAACCACAAAAGTGTATCATAACAAAACAAGTCATATAGCTAACATAACAACCAAACTCTGTAATTACTAAGGAACTAAAATGCTCGCTTACGTGTATAATGCATAAGGGTCCTTGGCTTCATGTTCATCACCTGGGCAGAAAACTGTTGCTAATGCCGAGAATCGCTCCTCAGGATCTGCAATGTTCAGCAAATGCTTAAGCAGCTTTATTTCTTTTGGAGCAATGCTTCTAAGACTGCTCTTTGTGGCTTTATATATACGATACATTATCTCTTTGGCCTGAAATCAAATGCCCAAATTCAACTTTGTGAGAATGAGAAAACCAGCACATAAAGCTCAAATAAAACAGAACAAGCATGAGTAGAAAAAAAAAATAACAAAATAAACTAAATGTAAGCGACTTTGTCTCAAGTCCAGAGCCCTAAAGAATCATGAGTTCTGGACAAGAGAAGAGCTGTTTGATGTTTTGAGGGCAGATATATTCATTTTTGAATATAACACAAACTTGAAATTGTTTAAGTTCAGTATATATTGCATGCTAGGTTTCATTAGCTTTTTTATTCTCTGAAAGCCATTGAATTCAATACTACATTTTTAAAGGTTCAACAACTCTCTAAACACATCAGTGCATCAAGATTCTAGTCCAAATCTACCACAAAAAGGAATGATGTAGCTTCTGTTATCTAGAGGAGGAAAAAGGATGAACTTATAATCTGGAAATACTAGACAGAAAAGTACTTGCTCATGCAAAATGTGATACATTGATTTGTTGGGAAAAAAAAGTAGAAGAAGAAGAAAAAGGAAGAAACAAGATCTGGTTAAGAGATGATAGTTAACAGAAGGTTCAAATTTATACCTCATTTTTCACATTAGGAGAATCTTTTGCTGCTGCCCAAGTACTGTTTATCAATAGGATCAACGAAGAATCAAGTTCCTTTGCTTTGGCTAGGCTTTTGATCTTTTCACATGCTGCATCCACTGAAGGAGAGTTAAGGATGTCATCAAATTTGGCCTGTGCAGTATCTAACGTTCCTACATACTCCAATGTCTTGTCAAAGGCACTGACAGCAGACAAGCATCTAGCCCCTAGCCTGGCCATTGCTGTTCAAACAAAAAGATATCCACATCAAATGCATGAACTCAAGCAAGCCATACAGATAATCATTTTTCTTCCAGTTAAATTGTTATAAAGCATCAAGGCAACTCCAGCTTACTAGGAAACAAATTGATCGTATGACTCGTTCCTATTTTGAAAGAGTTCTTTGTGCATATACTTTCTAATCTACAGAATAGTAAGCTTCAATATTGCCTTTATTTATTATATGCTACAGAGAAAGCATATGCAACCATTCATCAAAAGAAAATTCACCAAATGAAGCTATATCATCTAAATAGTTCAGCCAAAATGTAGAATTAAGAAATTATCAATTAATCCATCAAACAAAACCAAATATTAGACATCAAAATTCCAAAGAAATTACCATCACGATCCTCCAATGCATCATAAGTTTCTGAAAGAAGGTTTAAGTGACGAAAGAACTCCCCAGTGAAGTCTTTGCGCCGCTTTGTGACAATTGCATTTAGGTCAGTTGGATTGTCCTCAATTTCTTTAAGAAGTGCAGAATGTTTTTCCATTTCTTCATCAATCTGCAATGCTCATTCCTGAGTACACAGAATCAAAAGAAGCTCTCTAAACCCAAAAGAGTATCTATATCTCTATTTGGTCATTAGAAAAAATGAAGCAAAGGAAACATAACTGTATTTTAAACATTACTGCTATGTTTGTTAAGTTATAATGGAATGCTCTAAGGTGTAAATCGAGCATTGAACTAGTAAGCGTGATGGACTCAAATGGATTTTTAGTGTAATCTTAAATGCATTAGAATACATGAAGCTAATTGAATACCAAACGTAGCCAATAATTATATTTAGCGTTTTCGAACCTCAAGAGAATCAAAATCACTATACTAAATTTCCGCAACTATTTAATGCTTAAATGTGAATTTCTCATTTCTTTGAAACCAAAACAACAAAAAACATATTTCTCGTTAGAGAAAGACACGGCTAAATCATACCCTTCGCACTTTAGCAGCAAGTGAAGTATATTTCTGCTTCAAAGTTGGATCAGTCTCCATATCAGCTCTTGTTTGGCACCTACAATAGAATCGTTCCCTATACTTTTTCCAATCTTCCCTAAACACCAAATACTTTCTCCATTCTTTGACTCTGGGCTTCTCATTCAAGAACACATCAATCATCTTATCGCAAAATTGGGTAATAGTGTACCCTTCTGCAACTTCTACCTCCCCTTTTTCTTCCATTTCAACATTTGCAATAAAGTTACTTGCTTTGAAACCTGAACAAACCCATAAAGGTTTTATCTTTTAAAAGCAAAAAAGAAGAATTTAGAGTTAGAATAGAGATACTGGTACTTACTCGTGCTGAATCTGTGAATTCTTGAACTGGTTTTTTGTTTGTTGGGTAGGGAAAGAGAGGGAGAAGATACAGAGTGGAATTTGAAAGTTGGTGGTAGAAATTTATTGTTGAAAGCAGTGGTGGCGTAGAGTGGGGATTGGGTTGTGGAGGTTAACAACTCCGATCCCAAGAAGTTGCGATGGCTCATGGTTTCTTTAGCTTTGGTTTGTACCAGAGTAGGTAGAAAATGCGAACAAAGTTCCGTTGCAGAATTGAACTAGCTCAACTCAAGTACATAAACAAGAGAGGAAAGGATAATGCGTCCAAGCTTAACGACATCGTTTTCTGGCCTTGATAAATATCTTCAGTCTCGTTAAAACGCACCGCATAAACGAGGCATAGGTAGAGCTGTTTTTGGGACGATGTCGTTCGGTTTGAAGCAATAACGGAATCAAACTTAAAAGTGAAGCTTTGAAAACAGTTAAAATCAAATCAAATTATAAAAAAAAATTTTAAACCAAATCAAGTTTTTAATGGCGATTTGATTTTATTTGATTCGGTTTAATTTGTTGAGGTGATATAAAAAAAAGAGATTAAATTTTCTTATTAATTTAGTTAATACGAAAAAAAAAATTAAAACTAACAGAGAAAAATGAATTAATACAAACTATAATATAAAATACACATAATTTTAGTTATAGTTCAAAAATTTTTTAAATTAATTTCTTTGTAATTCTATTCTAAATATGGTGCAAAAAATATTATATATAAAATAAAATATAGTATATATTGTATAAGACGTTAATTAAGCAATTTGTAAATATAAAATTTAAATATTAATTTATTTCTATATTTATGATTAAAAAATTATTAAAAACTATAGTTTTGCTTATGTATAATTATAAATTTGTAAATTTAATATCTGGAATTTTTAAAATTTTTTATTTTCACATATGAATGGAAAATTTTATACAAAATATTTTAAATATATTATGTTTAAGTGGACAACCGGAAATGACAGTAGTAAAATCGCATTGTTGATAATTTTATTTATATTTTAATGGACAATGTATTTATATTTTTATTTGAATTTCATTGAGTTACTATTACTAGTCAAAAAAATTAGCTGTACAACAATGAAATTCCCACTGTAAATGTTTTAATTTTATCATTGGATTTTAATATACGATTGACATTGAAAGTAAAACTGGGAACTGGAAAATTTAATGGATAGGGATGAATAAATTTTGGTCCAGTTCTATTACTTAATTCCCACACTCAGAAAAAATTTGAAAAATTTTCTTTTTATTATTTATTATTCTAAAATCTGTTTAACTCTTTTAAAATAGATTAGCTTCTTTTTGGTTGGATGCTTGTCTTTGGATAGAGGAAGTTCCGCCCTCTATTGAGCTTTGAGCCTTTTGTTTTGCAGGATATGCTTTAATATATTGATCATTTTCATTCTCATATAAAAAAAAAAAAAAAAAAAAAAAAAAAAAAATAACTTGATCATATTTCATTCTCAATATAAAAAAAAAAAAAAAAAAAAAAAAAAAAAAAAAAAAAAAAAAAAGTGCAATCCTACGAAATCTCTTCACCGAAAGAAGAAAACACAGTATATTACTATAAGTTGGCATGCTAAGATATAATTTAGTGGTAAGTGCATATATAAGTTGGTAACATATCTAAATTTGATTCCTATATATATATATATATATATAAAAGCTAAGCAAATCGACAAGCTCAAATACCCAAAAAAAATGTAAATAAAATAAGAAATAATCCCAATCTGGTTAATTTAATTAACCAAAACCTGAGAATAATTCTGGATTAATAAAAAAATTAACACTAATAGACAAGCAGCTGATATCTGAAACTCAGAAAGCTATGTTGAGAGTTGACAACCGTCATTTCCTCACGAGAGAAGCAACATACATAATTTTTTTTTTTTTTTTTTTTTTTCACTAAGAAGAAGCAAACTATCATGAAATTAATACTATTTTTTTTTTTTTTTTTTTGTGAAAAAAGAATGAAACTCATAAAAAACATTCCTTTAATTTCTAAAATTCCTTGACTGGATTGGTTTCTGTTTGGTGATTTAAGAATTTTGCAGTAAGAAAAATTTGTAGGTTTAAACCATTATTGGTTGTGCTTGTTCTAAACGAATCTTTTAAAGCTGAAGATGCTTTTGGTGTTGCACCTTATTCATCAAGCTCAGTGTCCTAACTTATCACCCATTTAAACTTGGAGCAAATACCCAGAAGCACCAATTTACTGAGAATATCAATTTATACATATATTATCCCAATTCATTCATAGAGAAAAAAACTTAATTATAAAAGTAGCTTTCAAGATGTATTTAATTATTAATATTTAGGGCCCCTTTGAATTTTTTTTTGTATTTATTTTTATACTTAGATGTTATAAATGTTGTTTAAAACATGAGGCAAATTGTTTTTTTTTTATTTTTATTATACTTCATTGAGGTTTTTTTTTTTTTTTTTTTTTTGTGAAAAAAAGAATGAAAACTAATAAAAACATTCCTTTATTTTCTAAAATTCCTCTGGTGGATTCTGTTTGGTGATTTAGTTTTGGCAGTAAAAGATTTGTAGGTTAACCTTGTGGCTTGTTCTTACGTCTTTTAGCTGAAAGATGCTTTGATTTGCCCTTTTCATCAACTATGTCCTACTTATCCCATTTAACTTGAGCAATACCCCATTTACTGATATCATTTATACATATATTTCCATTAAATTCAATGGAAAAACTTAATTATAAGTCTTTCAATTTTTATTTTAATTTTTAGGGCCCTTGAATTTTTCTTTTGTATTTTATTTTTATAACTAGATGTTATAATAGTTGTTAACAGTTTTTTTTTTTTTTTTTACTTCATTGGAGGTTTATAAATCAAAATAACACTTAGTTTATACAATTAGACCATTATTGATTAATTAGCACATTGTTTTAGTAACTGGTAGTTATTGCTACACAATTAATGAATTAACATATTAATACATATTTTTTTACAAGAGAATAAAACAATACGATCCCTGTGATTTGAGGAAATATAATTAATTCGTCCTTATTCTTTAGAAAATAGGTTAAAATATTGTTATAGTTTACTTCCGTCAGACTATAAGGTCCTTTCGTCAAACTATTGCATTTTTTTTGTTAAGTACCTTATAAAAAGACTAAAATACCCCTTATATTTTTAAAAGTACAGGAACAGAGTAGTTATATTTTTCAAACCATAAGAATCGTACTATAATTCTCTTAGTGTAAAATTTTTACTATCTCTTGTTTGACCTATGTATTTTCTTATTAACTTAATGAAAACAATGCAAAATTTTGATAGAAGGACCTAATAATGTAACGGAAGCAAAACATATGGAAAATTATATATTTAAAAAAAAACAAAGATAGACTAATTGTATTTTGCAAATCATAAGAATCGTACTGTTTTTTTTTTCTTTTTTGTAAACTCTTATGTTTACTTTTCAATATATATCTATCTTCCCTCCGTCGCATTTTGTTTGCTTGTTATTTTTTTTTAAATATCCCAAAATATTTACAATGTTTCAAAATTTATATATTTAAATACTTATTTTTCTCATAATAACTTTTATGATTGTTCATTAAATGAACAATTTTTATTAATATCTTAACGAGCTAAAAGCAAAGATGGTAAAATAATTTTTGTTAACTAAATTCTCAATAGGTATGTTTTGTTAAATCATGCAAACAAAATAGAACGAAACGAGTATAATGGTTTAATCCATTAAATATTAAGGGAAATTAATTTTTTAGTCCCTGAGATATAATAAAATTATCTAAGTAATTTTTTTATTTTCGATAAATATTAGGCGTGTCCCTCACGTTTGAGATCTTGATTCCAAGCAGTCCCTCTTTCCATTTTTTCCGTTAAGTCGTACGGAAAGGATAATGAGAGGTGAGAGAGAACTTTCAAAATGACTGAGTTACCCTTTCATCATACATAGCTACAGAACTTTTCAATCGAATTCATAAAAAATGTCCTTCAAATCATGTGCCAGGCCCTTCAACTAGCTTGCTCTTCTTGGTCCGTGTAACTAATATAAAGAATTGATGAGAAAACAAAGCAAATGCATTAATCTCCAAATCACAGACTCATGGATGCTCTGTTCAGTTCTAAAAAAACCACAACATTCAAGTCTCTAAATGGTAGCAGCACATACAGCGGAATTAACAAGATATAGGTGAAGCAGAAAATGAAAAACTTAAGCTAGATACAAATTAGAGTCCAAAAATCAAAGCTTTAGACAAAACAAAGTCGAAAATACAAGATCTGAGCGCTGAACCAAACTGAAACTCAGCCTTTGAGATAACTAGAGTAAAGTAAGGCGGTGGCAGTGGCGATAGAGGAGTTGCAGATTCTGGGGACTCTGAAGATGGTGATGGTGAAAGCGGCGATGGAGAAGATGGCGAGGGTGGGGATGTTAATGGCAGAAGCGGTGCAGGCGAATATGGTGGGGAGAGAGAGAAGGTAAATAGCTTTCATATTGCCCTGGGTATTTTAGTCATTTCCTTATGACTTAAAAGGCCAAAAATCTCAAAATTGAACCAAGGACTACTTAGAAGGACAGAAGCAAACTTGAGGGACGTACGAAATATTTGCCCAAAAATAGTAAATTACTTAGATAATTTTGTCATAACTCAGGAATAAATAATTAATTTCCCAAATATTAATTTGCATGAAATTTGGAAAACAACAACCAAAGCAAAGGGCACAGAGAATAAAGTTAGAGAATACTCGCTAAATTGCAAAATCAAAGGATGAAGAAAACAATGACATTTTATTCTTTTCGATCCAAACAACTCAAAACGGATCCTTCAAAGAAGAAAGCCCTGTACTAACTTTGGATCCATCTACTGAAATCTGCCTCTTAGCTGTTCACTAGATTTTTTTCCTTTTTAACTGCCTTTACGCCCATAAATTTCCAGGCTTTAGACCTTCAAGAAACTATTGATTTGGTCAACCAACATGACGAATAGAAACGGCAGTCATCGTCAGGAAACGGTTATCGACATAGGAAAGCAGGTAAACTTTACCGGGGGACTTGAGTTTTCTAATCTTACTTACACAGTAATAAAGAAAAAGAAAGTTGAAGGAAAATTGTTAAGTCAAGAAGTAGATTTATTGCACGCTATTACTGGCTATGCACCAAAAGGTTGCATCACCGCCGTAATGGGTCCAAGTGGCGCCGGAAAATCTACTTTCTTGGATGGGTTGGCCGGACGTATTGCCAGTGGAAGTTTAAAGGGCAGAGTTTCATTTGATGGAACAGAAATGAACCCTAGCTTGATTAAGAGAAGTTCAGCTTATATAATGCAGGAGGACAGATTATTTCCTATGCTTACTGTTTATGAAACTCTGATGTTTGCCGCTGATTTTCGGTTGGGTCCCCTTTCTAGAACTGATAAGAAGCAGAGGGTGGAGAAGCTTATTGAACAGCTTGGTTTATCAGTAAGTCACTTAATCTTGCTTCTTTATATTATCAGGGATGTCAAATGAGTTCGATTTTACATCAACTATGGTTACAAAATATTCAAAATTAGAATTCTTTGGATTCGAGTTGAGTTAATATTCAAATAACTCAGTAATAATTTGAGTCAAATGACTGAAGTAATAAGTCCAGTCAAGTTCGAATGTTATAATACTATATTCAAATACATCATTCACAAGTTTTTTAAATATCTGAATTTCATATAATAATTTATTAATTATAGTTAAATCAACCTGACTACGAATTGTTGGAATACAACATTAAATTGAACCAAAATTTAGATATTATTATAATACTTAATTTCTGTAATTTTGTAAGGCCTGCTTGAATATCTAAATTTTTCATAATTATAAGCATATGTTATTTTTATATATAGTATGTTAATTGAAATTAATAATTTACTAAAAAACAGGCTCAATATAACTTAAAACATTTGAATCTTCACTTGAGATGTTAATAATAAACTTTTTATTATTAATTAAGTCAAACCCAATTAAGTTCAAGTAATTTAAATTTTTTACATAAAATACAAAAGTCAACATGTTCTTTCGATTAAATTTCAAATCTCAAATTTTGTTTTATTAAATCAAACACGAGTAATATACACTAAATAGATTCAACGCAGTTTGATTAGAACCTGAACCATTGGTTTAAGGCTTAATCTAAAATTTTTTTGAGAATATTAACTGAACTAATTAAGACTTCAAAAATTTTGATTGCAGTCATCAAGAAACACATACATAGGAGATGAAGGTACAAGAGGAGTGTCTGGTGGTGAGCGTAGAAGAGTGTCAATTGGTGTAGACATAATCCACGGACCATCTTTGCTCTTTCTTGATGAGCCAACCTCAGGGCTAGACTCTACAAGTGCACACAGTGTAATCGAAAAGGTTCATAACATTGCAAGATCAGGAAGCACAGTGATCCTAACAATTCATCAACCTTCATCAAGAATCCAAATGCTTCTTGACCATCTGATTATCTTGGCTCGTGGTCAGCTCATGTTTCAAGGTTCTCCAAAAGATGTTAGTCTTCATCTTGGCCGAATGGGGCGAAAAGTTCCCAGAGGTGAAAATTCTATTGAGTATATGATTGATGTTATACAAGAATATGATCGGTCTGAGCATGGAGTGGAGGCTTTAGCTGAATTTGCACTTACCGGAATGAAACCTCCCAAGTTATCCGATGAGGACGTGTCAGTTTCCTCCGTTGCGCTTACTCTGCCTCCAGCCCGGGGGAACAAGAGGCAGACGGAAGGGGCAGGTGGAAGGAGAAATGATGGGAAACGGATTTCTTCACAAACAAGGGCATATGAAACAAATGAGTTTGATAGTAGTATCAGAAGTCCTGCATGGAGTGGTGGTAATAATTTTGGAGTAGTGACAACGTTAAGGTTTACACCTTCTCGCCAAAGGAATGAAAGAAAAGTGCAAAATCCAATGAGGTAAAGTAACTTATTTCATCACTTTTTAATCTTTTATTCTAAATTATAAATTTTAATACGCAGTATAAGTGCGATATACTTTATAACAAATATATTAAAAATTAGAATAAAAGTGTTCGCCCGAAGATAAGCTATCTCAATTTCCACGGGAGTTCGACGTTGAAAAGTGCATTTATTTGAATTGATTATATTTTTTGCAGTTCGACGTCTCCTGGCTACTACACATCCTCGAGAGATATGTTGCCAAACACACCAACACCGCACAGTAGTGACTACACAGTAAATGAAAATGACTACCTAACCCCAACCATTGCTCCAAACAATATGGCAAACCATATTCTCGGTCCAAAATTTGCCAACTCTTTTTTATCAGAAACATGGATTCTAATGCGCCGGAATTTCAAGAACATCAGAAGGACACCCGAGCTTTTCCTCTCAAGACTCATGGTTTTGACCATAATGGGTATTATGATGGCAACAATGTTTATGAACCCTAAACAAAATTCCCAAGGAATAACAAATCGTCTTTCTTTTTTTATCTTTACTGTCTGTCTCTTCTTCTTCTCATCTAATGACGCTGTTCCTGCTTTTATTCAAGAACGTTTCATTTTTGTCCGTGAAACGTCTCATAATGCCTACAGAGCGTCTTCTTATACTATTGCTGGCCTTATAACTTACCTTCCATTTCTTTTACTTCAATCTGGAGTTTATGCAGCCATTGTTTGGAAAGCCCTAAAGCTTCGCGGTCCTTTCTACTATTTCTTGCTGGTTCTTTACGTTTCTTTACTTTCTACTAATTCTTTTGTTGTTTTTGTTAGTTCTATCGTTCCGAATTACATTTTGGGTTACGCATCAGTAATTGCATTTACTGCTTTGTTTTTCTTGTTTTGTGGGTATTTCTTGAATAGTCACGATATACCTATTTACTGGAAATGGATGAACAAGATTTCTACTATGACTTATCCGTATGAAGGATTATTGATGAACCAGTACCAAACAGGAGAGGTTTTTGGGTTTACTTCAACTGGACAACCTATAAATGGAACTGCTATATTAGATTCACTGAAAATCAGTACTGAAGAATCCAAGAAATGGGAGAAGGTGCTTATTATGTTGGGTTGGGCAGTTCTTTACAGGATATTTTTCTATGTAGTTCTTCGATTCTTTTCCAAGAATCAAAGGTCGTAGAAAAAATAAAAAAAGAAGGGAAATTTCTGGAGATTATGTTGATTATATTGATGTTTGAATTAACTATTTTTGACAGACAACTCTGTTTAATTTGTTTAATGAACTTTTCTTAATTATACTGTTCTTTTCTTATTATTCGTTATATTTGAAATTTACAGTCTAACCACCTCGAGAAAATTTCTCTTAAAAAAAAATAATATATTGTATTTTTACTAGTAGATAATTATGTGACTTAGACTAAGACTATATACTATATATTATAGATGTTGTTCAAAAAAATATATATATTATAGATATTAAGAATGATTCATTTTTTCTTTTAGGTTGATAACAAGTCGATTAATATTTTCTTTCAATCAATTTGTACTGGATTAATTAAGTTTTTCTTCAAATCAATTTAATTACTGTATCATCGTATTCGATGTATACAGTCAAAAATTAATTTTTTAAAATATTATTCCTAATAAAACTTAAATCATGGTCAATAAAATAAAAAAATTTTGAATAAATATGATAATATATAAAAGTTGAAATTGAATGCATTTAAAAAGAAATATATAAGCACACCAACACGTAGTCTAGTGGTAAGTGCATTTACGACCTGACTTAAATTCGAATCTCTTCTCCCAATAAAAAAAAGAGATATATACAATTTATGCTGGAAAATTTTAAAAACTAATTAATTATTAACAATATATATGTAATATAGGTCAAAGGCGGGTTGAGAGAACCTTGGCTTATTATATTGCAAATTAAATACTTCAAATTGGTAATTAGCATAGACAAGGATAATTATAATATAGGTGAAATAATGTTAGGTTATAGTATCATTTAATGAAGAGAAAATCTGCCCAATCATTATTAATTAATGTCTGCAGCTATTTATTATTGGATTCATTTCAAAAAGGAATCATTGGTTAATTTTGCAGAATATATACTTTGAATTTTCTAATTAAATTAATTTCAAATGTTGCTTGAATTAAAGTTGAGGTGACATATATGGTATTTTTAAGTATATATATAATAATAAAATAGTGAATGTAAATGACTCTTTAACTCATCGAAACCTATTTCTATTTGCAAAATGGAGGAAAACACAAATACACACTTTCTACTTTCCTTTTCTAGATTTTTAAATAACTAAATATAATTTAATTAAATAACAAAGTCTTTAAGTCATGTTCGTCAACAGCTATTATTTATATTATTTGATTACAAAACATTTATAATAATGTTTAAAACAGTGTTATTGAAATTAGCCAAAATATTGACCTAATTGAAGAACTGGATGGATGAATCATCAATTTAACCAGTTGGTCAATAGTTCAATTCAGTCATAAAAATATAATAATATATATATTTAAATGAATAATTATAATTTTAAATAATTATAATATAATAAAAATATCACAAAGTTAATTCGAGTCAATCAGGTTTTTGCAGATCGATCCGGTTCAATAACGATGGATTAATTGGTTCAACATAGCTCTTCCTTTTTTAAAAGTAAAATGAACCTGCTTTTGAATTTGATATCGATTTTCCAAATTGACTCGCTACGCTTATTTATATTTAATAATTATGGTTTAAAATTTAAGAAAACGAATTATAAAACATTATTCATTATCTTTCATTTAACATTTAATAAAATGCTAATTAAATAATTAACAGCTACTAAAACAATTAATTTTGTGTTACTTTATAAAGTCAAACAAATGCTGTATGACTAGCCTTCTTACTTTCCGTACGAATATAGTCCGTAAGAATATAGTGAGTCAAAGATATGAAATTTGAATATGTTAACTATAAGATTTTCACTAATTTAGCGAATTCAGAAGAGAATTACTCATGCTGTGTAGCTTATAATATCACCTCGATTTATTTGACCTCCTAATAAATTAAAAAAAAGAAGGATTACTATATAAATTCTTTGTTTCCATTTCCCTCTATGCACAGTGAAGTTTACATTAACATTAAGCAGTAGGAAAATTTTTGAAACTTCCTTCTGAATCTACTACTACCTCTTCACCTATAGCACCTTCCACCATCAATATAGCACATTTACGAATTGAAATAAAACATGAACAAACATTATTTTAAAGTTTCCACATATTCAAAAAATTTAAACTCTCAAGTCTCAACTTTGAATCTTTTGCCGTTTCAAAGAGATATTGGAATAGATTATAAATAAAATCATTTCAAAGAAACCCATAAAACAATTAGAAGCTAATTAAATTATTGATGAAGTGTTTGAACCTTGTAAGAACCGCTAAAAAAGGCTTGCCATGAACCTTCACAAGTACACTAAAAACAATTAAAAATTAACTGGTTGCTCCAATGCATAAATTGACCAAATAGAGATTCTTACATTACATGTCAGGTCAGAAATTTCTCTATCTTTCCAATCTGTCAAAACACAGCCTTCCAATAAGCTGCTAATAAGATTACAACTCATTGAAATTGTCAATAATTGTTATAAGTCGTAACTGACACATAATTTTAGGCTGATGATCCATAAATATTCTTATTTTTAGTGTAATATTAATATTAAAAAACAATGGTAAAATAACTCATTTTGGATTAGATTAAATTAAGGTGCAAAAGATGTTCCAATTTAAAAACATATTCTAGTCATGGCAGTTGAATGATTATCGAGATTATATTTAAGTTAGGTAGGGCTTTCATGGAATTTCACTATATTCAAGTATATTTTGATAGATAAGCTATTATTTTCAATTTTCAAATAATTATAAGCATGAGCTTATGCCGTATGTAGGTTCTTTCTTAATATTAATTAATATTTTATTAAATATCAATTAACTTTTACTTGAAATTTTAATTTTAATAATTTAGAAAAAATCTTTATCGAGGCACAAATTAAAATTAAGTTTGTTTGGCAAAATTAATTATTTTAATAACCATTAGCTATTTTAATAGCTTTCAATTGTTTAACTAGCATTTCATCCAACTTCTCGTAATCCGCTCCCTCAAACTCTGAACACTACTATATATCTACTATATATGAAATATGCCACCGAACATTATAAATAATAAAAATAGTGTTTTGATCCTGAAAAGTTGTTAGCCACGCTGGCCTTAAGCTTTAAAGAAACCACTGTAGCAAGGAAACGGAAACTCGAAAAAATGAAAAGCCAACACTAAAAAATGAAATTTTGAATACGACTTTATACAGTGAAACAACATTCTACATGCGAAAACGTTTCCCAAGGCATTTCTATATATGCATCATTGACCACAGCAAATTAAATCTAATATATGATTTTAGTATATATTATTTTCAAATAAAAAAAGAAGCAACTAATCAAATTGGAATGTGAATTAACGAATTCTTCAACATGAATAATTAATTTATTACTTATACCGTAACTGAAGGGGTTTAGTTTACTTTAGGTACCAAACTCAATTACCATGATGTTCCATTTATGGTAACAGACAAGGAGAGGGACGAAAATGAAGGTTAGCTCTGACCAATCATATTACCTTGTTTAATAAAAATATTAAGAAAATTAGACCTACACCACCCAAACAAAGTTTTAATATAATTTAAACACTAATGTTATTACATAAAATTGATAATCAAATTTGGATTATTATAATTTAAGAGCTCTCTCATCATCTTCCTTCATATGCTTCTCTAACTTCCACATTTGAAGTCAAACCTATGTTATCAACCTCTTGTTCTTTAAAAACTCTCTTCTGTTGATACCCTTTTGTCTCCGTCGATCAAAAGATAATTTTCTTGCCATTAACTCCAAGAATTATTGCTTAAATGCTTATTAAATTTACAGGTTATGTAGCATGGTTCTTGCTTTGGTTTCAATTTCATAGCAACAGGGAATATATGTTAATCAAGAGCAGAAAATTGCAGCATGTCAGCAATTGAGATAAGAGAGTATAGGAAAAATCTATAACCTGCAAAAACAGCTGGTCTGATTATGAGTTTGATGACTCGATGGGGCAAGCTCCGGTTAAGATGAGAAGATGATGGGAGGAAAGCAATACTGGATTGCAAGAGGTGTTGAATGTTTTATTATTTTCCTGTGCATTCTTATCCAATCGATTTCTGCACAAGAAGGTTAGTATGTCTGCATATGCAGTTTAATTGTCTAAAAGTTTCATAAAATGCATTAAAATGAAAGGAATAGTTTTATTTCTTGATGAGGTTTTATTCTAAAATTTGTGTAGAATTTCAGATCAGCTTGATCATACTTGATCTTTAGTAACTCTAAAATCTGGATCTTTGAGTTCAGAGCAGGAAAATTTATCTTTCTTATTTAAGGTGTATACTTAGGTTCCATTTTGAAGAACTAATTCTAATTTGTAATGTATTTAATTTTTCCTGAACTGAAGAATGTTGCAAGAGTTCAAATTCTAAATCTAACTTACAATAATGTCCATATAATAGACAATTCTGATCAACCACTAATAACATATTGCAAAACTCTCAGTTTGTAGCTAATGTACAAAAACCGGGATGACTCATATGACAAATGAAGTAGATCTTCTTCGGAAGATGTAAAACAAACAAGTAATAACAAATTAAAGTGGTATATTTCAAGAGTTTCTAGAATCATCTTAAATACTTGAGACTACATAAGCTAAGCAGACAATTCATTTAGTGATCTGAAAATTTGTGTTTGGCATTTGAGGTTGAAATTAGTTTTTTTGGAAAAAAGAAAAAAAGAAATTTGAGAGTGTTGTTGTTTTGAAATGTTTATGACTAGAATATATGAAATTCAAGTTAAAAACTGTAACATCTAATCAACATTTTCAACATAATAATAGCATTTGACGAGGTTCAAAGACACAAGATCATATGCAAATTACAGCATGGTTTTATTGATACTAACCTGGAAAAACATAATAACATCCTCAAAATCTGCAAATTTCATACAGGCTTTGTGAGCATCAAATGCTGTGCTGCATCAAATTCTAAAGATAGCAACAACATAACTTGGATATCAGATGCTGGATGGTTCCCAATTAATGCAAAAAATTGTAAGAATATAACCACAGCAAGAGCGAATTATACAGGCTATGATATAGTTCGATTTTTTGACAAACCAGGGAAGATATGTTATGACATACCAACAACCAAGGACCAGAACTATCTGATAAGGAGTACATTCCTTCATGGAGATTCAGAGGGATCTTTGGACTTTTCCTTTGATGTTTTGATTGGTGTCACGCGAATAAGCACAGTGAACTCACTTGAGGATTTGGTGTTGGAGGGCACTTTTAGAGCTACTAATCAGTATATAGATTTCTGCTTAGTGCATAACAAGGAACATCCTTACATTTCACAGCTCGAACTCAGACCTCTAGAAGCTTCCAAATATTCAGAGGGAAGCAATCCTAATGTTTTGATATTGGTTAGCAGGATTGATCTAGGAAACGAAGGAGAAGCTATCAGGTAAGTTTCTTCACTTCTTTTATGGAAAGAATGTAAACAGAAGTTCTGAAACAAGTAGATTAGGCATGTCTCCTAATACATCACTAACAATGACAACTTCCAGTCGCAGCAAGAGCTATTCATTCATTTGGAAAAGCTCTGAAGAAAAAAAAAATTAGGCAAATTAATTTTTCAGGGGCAAATTCAGATAATTGTTACTCTTCATAGAAGTATATTTAACTAAATGATGACACCATCATGCCAGTGCTCTAATCAGAATATTAACAGCTAATTCTATTATGGCTTTCTGCCTCATTTTTTTTCAACTACTGTCAATGTCATAACTGTCATACCTGCTACCACAACCAACACAAGGCCCAAAAGCTCAACAAACTTCACCGCCTTCAGCATCAATATTTTTATGGCTCTTAAACTGTAAGATATTATGTTGCACACCCATTTATTTTGTGCAAAAAAAAAAAAAAAAAAAAAAAAAAAGATGATAAGAAGTGCATTGATGCCTCTCTTGCTTCCAAGGTCACCACTGTGTAGGATAAGAAAACAAATACATTCTGACAAAGATTATTGAGGCAAATTAAAAAACTTTTGGCTAATGTTTGGATAGAGTTAAAATATGGGAGGAAAGAAAATAATTGAAAAAAAAAAGAATTTTATTTGCCCTTGTTTTTGTGAACATGAAGGAAAATAACGCTTATTCCCATTCCAAAATTTCTCTCCAAATTAAAGGGAAAATAGAAAAAAACTATAAAGATAAACTAGCAGAGGGAAAATGATTTTATTACCCTTCTATATCCAAATACAAGAAAGGAAAATTTTTTTTTCCAAAATTCTCCTTTCTCCCTTATTTTCCCTCATTTTTTTCAGTCAAGTCAACAACAAACCATAACCATCTCTATACTAAACTCATGGCATTTTCCTTCAAAGAAAACGCATGGACATGCTGCATTGCTAATAACTACAAGAAACTTGTTTTCTCACTTAGTACACTAGAGGAAAAAAATGCTTAAAGATTAGTTAATTGCAGACATAATCTTAACTATGTTTTATGCTTACAAATTTCAGGTACCCAGCTGACCAATCTGATAGAATTTGGTTACATCCTGACCCCACAGTTAACATATCACTGGATGCAACAACAGCAAGATCCAATACTTCTGTCTACATTGTTAATACAACAGTGCCTCATAAAGTTCTTCAAACAGCACTAACACACACGGACAGATTGGAGATCATACAAAAACTTGATACAGAGGATAAGAACTACACTTTGTTCCTATACTTTCTGGAGCTCAATTCCTTTGTACAAAAAGGACAAAGGGTGTTTAATATCTTCATTAACAATGTGATTCACCATGGACAATTTGACATACAGGCCAATGGATCAAACTATACGGAAGTTGCATTAAATGTCACAGCAAAAGGGTCTCTCAATTTGACCCTAGTCAAGGTAAAAAATGAGTTTGACTTCGGACCTGTTTTAAATGCCTACGAGATCCTACAGGTGCAGCCATGGCTTCAAGGAACGAACCAGCGAGATGGTAAGTTTAACAGTTGCAATGTATTAAATGCAAATGTACTTCAACTAATGGTACACTTCGGTCAATTTTCTATGCCTATTGCTAGCTAAAACGTGTGTCTTTTCAGTGGATGCAATAGAGAAGGTGAAATATGAACTGCTTTTGCAAAACAAGAAAAATCAATTGTTGCAAAGTTGGTCAGGAGACCCATGTCTCCCTCTTTATTGGAAAGGTCTAACATGCCAAAACATGAACGGGTCCCAAGTGATCGCCAGAATGTATGTTCTTCCATATTAATAACCGAGTGATAACTTATAAGTCATAAGACTGTATTCAAATTAAAGTGGCAGCTGCAATTTTTACTTTCTTTATGTAGTACTATTCTAATTTCTTATGGTTTGCAGGGATATTTCCTCCAGTCAACTACATGGGCCACTTCCGGCTAGTATTACTAAGCTGTCCAACCTAATACAACTGTATGATTTAGGATACTATTATAAACAATCTGTCACTATTATATTAGTGCTTTTTTCATTGTGGTGATCATGATTTCTCATCTGTTTTTTGGTATGTAGGAACGTTAGCTACAATCACTTCACTGGTAGGATACCACAATTCCTATCATCCTCCAAGTTAACATCAGTGTAATTTTCCCTTTCTTGTTCCTTGAGCTATTTGTCATCTAATTATAGCTTCTGTTGATATCATAATATCTGCAAACTTCGAGAATTCCAAGAAAATTAAAGTTCTGCCAACTTAAATACCAAGAAATTGTCTTCTTTCTTGTTACTAAAATGATCATATACTACAACTATACACAATTTCCAAGTTTCACGGTAAGAAGTTTTGTTCAGTTGGTACATACCAGTCTGATTCGCATTCAATTATCAGGGATCTAAGCCACAATGATCTTATTGGATCTCTTCCAGATTCGTTGACCTCGCTTCCAAACTTGACAACACTGTAAGTTGCTAAGAGTTAGTTGCTTCCTATCATCAATAAATGGAGCTTCATCCACAATGTCGAATGCTTAATTCACTAAGTATGTCCTCACTCCAGATATTTTGGCTGCAATCCTCGTTTCAGCAAAGAGCCTCTTTCCAGTTTTAATAGTTCAAGACTTGCTACAGAGTATGAAACTGATAATCTATGCCTTAACAGTGAGCATTGAGATTCAGAATCTAACACTTAGGTATTAAATTTCAGCTACTGGGCATGTGCTAGGCAAAGATCAGCACGTAAAATACAAGGAATTGTCATAGGCACTGTTGCAAGTGGATCCTTCCTATTAGCAGTTGGAGTTGCTTTGGTTTGCATCTACAAACGAAAGTTCATAGCTTTTGGAAAATTTGATGGAAGGCCACACCACATGACAAAGAGTCAGTAAATTCATCCTTACTGTTAGTTGAAATCTCAAATCACAGTTTCTACCAGATAGATTTTCAAGCTTAGATAATTTGTATTTTATATCTGTTTCCCACAAATGCATGAACTCAAGTTGGTTTTTCTCGTTTTTGGGTAACTTATAATTGAATGGTAGTGAGACATGTGAAGATATCATCAATAGCATATTATTGCACAGAATCTTCCATTTCCATGGAAACCAAGATAGAATCATGCCTAGAAAAACTTGAAAATAGAAGCATGTAAATTGCAAATAAAGATTCATCTTGATCTGCAATGTAGCATAAAAAATGAAAATGATTCAGTCCAGTGAATCCTGTCTAAAATTCATAGAAACGATTAAGAAGCAAGTGCACACGTTCATGCATAAATTTAAATACATTCATACAGAATTGTAACACACTTACTGTTCACTTAATTTATGACTAACTCACTAAGTTGTTTTAGTTAATTAAATCTTCTATTCCAATATATGTCCTACTGCAATAAGCATCTTTCAATGATAGTGTCCTACAAAATGCAGATGCCATTTTCTCTATGCCGAGCTCAGATGATGTTGCTTTGAAGTCGATCACTATTCAAATGTTTACTCTAGAATATATAGAGAATGCCACCCAGAGGTATAAAACCTTGATAGGTGAAGGCGGCTTTGGATCGGTATACCAGGGCAGACTACTTGATGGTCAAGAAGTGGCAGTGAAGGTCCGGTCATCCACCTCAACACAAGGAACTCGGGAATTTGAGAATGAGGTAATAACAAAGCATTTAGCTAGCCTTAAATTTATTGTTCAAAAGTAAAATAACAACTTCCTGCTTAGATCATAATTACGCCAAATATTATCTTATTTCTTTCTAGTTCACTCTAGCAATTGTCTGACTTATGAATGAAATTCCTGCATCAAAACAACTATCCTGATTTTATCAAGTAACAACCTCAACATTTTTTCCAATCCATCACCCATGCATTTTTTGTATGCTTTCATTAGAGAATAAAAAAAATTTAAATTGACCTTCACTCTGCATAACTGCACATTAAGATTTCAGTCTGCCTAAGATATATGCCTAATGATTATTGTTGTCATTGTATGCTACAGCTAAACCTTCTTTCATCTATACGTCATGAGAATCTGGTGCCCCTACTTGGTTATTGTTGTGAAAATGACCAACAAATTCTTGTTTATCCATTTATGTCCAATGGCTCACTACAAGATCGCCTGTATGGTAATCCTCATCAAAACCCCTGCCCACCAATTTGTTTTGATATCCTTCTTTTTTCCAATAATTATTTTTATAACAGGGGAAGCAGCAAAAAGGAAAACTCTGGATTGGCCAACCAGACTTTCTATTGCTCTCGGTGCTGCTCGAGGCAAGTACAAGCGCACAATATCAAGCATTTCTTATTTTGAGCTGCTCTATCTGCATATCAAAATGAAATTAACAAGAAGCTGGACATCTTTCCTAGACTGACAATATTATAGTATGAACATAATATCAAATGTCCCAATTTCAAACAATCACACAATCTTCACTAATGCCCCTCAAAATGAAGTAAGAAGCTGACAACAAGACTCAAATGAGCAACATAATAAGATGTACTTAACTCTTGAATTCTCTGTAACTTGGTGGCACAGTTAATATGAACTATTTGCGAGCAAAAGTCCAGCATATCAGTTAGCTCTTCACAAAATTACACAAGGATCACTCAGAATAGTTTCTGAGATGGGTCTACGTCTTATTGTTTTTCAGTTTGACTGACAGAAATACCAGAATGTTTAAAGGATATTTTTGATTATTCAGGTTTGACACATCTTCATACATTTGCTGGCCGTTGCATTATACATAGGGATGTAAAGTCAAGCAACATACTTCTAGACCAAAGCATGAATGCAAAGGTGGCAGACTTTGGCTTCTCAAAGTATGCTCCTCAGGAAGGGGACAGTGGTGCTTCTCTGGAAGTAAGAGGCACAGCTGGATACTTGGATCCAGAGTAAGTAAACGTTTCTTAGACTCAAGTAGAAATTCAATCAATAGTACATTAGTTTGGGATACCTAGGAAGCATTAAATAAATAAAATTTTCAGATCTAAAGTATTGAAGCTTACTTGTGAAATTCTAAAAGAAAATCTTCAAGATTCCAATTACACACTAGGATTCCTTCTGTACCAAATCTAAGGCCAATCAGCATCATGCCTATGGTTGGAAGCGTATCACATAAATAGAAGCACCCAGAAAAATCTTTTCAATTAATTGATTAGTTGATTGTCAAAAGAGATTACATGAATCAATGATAAGGTTTCTATTATTCCTAACCAAACTAGGACATGGACTCCAAGTACAAACTTAAACAAGGACATAATGAAAGACTCAATTAAAACACAACATAAGATCCAGCATGATAAAGCCCAGGCTATTCCACCAAAGTTTAAAATATAAAAATCTCCTTGAGTTGTAAAAAATGCAGGCTCCATATAGGTTAGCTAAATAGACATATATAAGGACTTTGTAAGGTCTAGAAAGTACTTACTGTCTCAAGTAAACTTTACATAGACTTCGAACCACAATTCTCCATTTCTCAAGCCTTTAACCTATTTTTCATAATTTTATGTTGTTCTCATCATTCCTTAACCATGAGTAAGATAGATACTGCCTCAATCCACAACTCTCTCTTACATATCATAATAACCTTCTTCACAAGCATATGCGCATTGGATACTTTCTAATAGTTGTAAGCCATCATTAGCTGCTCAGAAAATTTATAACGCCGAACTTGATGTCAAAGTTGTATATGCTCGGCAAATATCATGAACTCAGAAAAATGCCTACCAGTAAATCCTATTTGATATATCTATCACTCAGGTACTATTCAACGCAGCATCTATCAGCAAAAAGTGATGTCTTCAGCTTTGGGGTGGTGCTACTTGAAATGGTTAGCGGTCGGGAGCCTCTCAATATCAAAAGGCCACGAAATGAATGGAGCTTGGTTGAATGGGTATGCCCAAAGTCATGCTTTCTCCTATTTAAAAATGAATGATGGATGTAATGCTTCTATTCCAGATGTCATATTACTGTACGCATGAGCTCCCCACATATTAATTTTTTCCAGTTTATTTTTGTGTATCAAACACCTTATCATTGACAATGCACTTACGATTGCAGGCAAAACCCTTTATAAGGGAGTCAAAGATTGACGAAATTGTGGATCCTGGCATAAAGGGAGGGTATCATGCAGAGGCAATGTGGAGAGTAGTGGAGGCTGCATTGGCATGCATTGAGCCCTTCTCTGCTTATCGACCATCCATGGCTGACATTGTTAGGGAGTTGGAGGATGCTTTGATAATAGAAAACAATGCATCTGAATATCTTAAGTCCATAGACAGCATAGGGGGGTACAGCTTGGGAGGTTCCAATCGCTATTCAATAGTCACAGACAAGAAGAATATTCTACAACCACCCACTCCGACCCCAACAGAACCTTCACCAATTAACACACAACCCTTGGCTCCTCCAGAACCAAGATAGTAGAAGGGTTCATGAGATGTTAATTGGTGAATTATAGTCAACTGGTGATAGATGACCATAGCAAAACATAAAAGGGGAAAATTGAGGATGATTCCCAATGCTCCTTTATGAGATCAACTGTTCATTCCATTTACTTCAAGTTTTTCACTTTTCCCCTAAATATCAAGTTAAGGAATCTACCTTTTTGAAAAAATTTTAAATGATGCAGTATGGGTTTTCATTACATCTGAGTACAATTACACAAATTAGAATAAATTGCTAAAGAGTGTAAATCGTAGATCATTATCAGTCCAGACAGCAAGAGATACAAACCGCAGTCTAAGCATCCAACATTGTTCAGTTTAATCACAAAAGCCTGTTAAATAACTTATTTTCTGAATTAAGATTTACATCTTCAAGTTCATCCCAATAACCTTAAGGGAAAAAAGAATAATGACTTGAAACAATTTGGTACTTCATGGCAATATGTAACACAAAACAATAGTATCTAATAAACATGATAGGAGTTTCTCAGAACTAGAGATCGAATATTTAGAGTATTCAAGTGGATTCCAAATTCCTATATTGTCCAATTTATCTATAATGCTAAGATCTTACTGGCTTTTACAGTAAGAGAGGGAAAAACAGCATGATAGATTCTATATTGATGACATGAAGTAAATGAGGCTCATGGAAAATAATGATTTTTGAAGATTATAAACGTGAGTGGTTCCAGTAGAAAACAAGACCTTTGGCTTTCTTGTATGGCAACTTGTTACTTTGGAGCATATCCAATTATTTGATTTTCAAAAAATAATATTCCATATGCATTGTATTGTTAATCACCTAAGCCCTCTGAAAGAAAAGGTGAACAAGGAATTCTCATGTTCATGTGTTTGTTTGTCCTTTCTTTTACTTTGTTGGACTTTTTTCACGTACTTAGACGAACCCTCAAACAGTTTTGGCTTGCATTCATGTGCGTGTTCATGTCCACAACGATGATTGTCAAGGTCATGTTCCATCATTGCAATGATTCAATGTTAAAGAACTAAAAGGTCAATTGGAACAAATGTAAACATGGCGGTTTACTTTTGACTTTCACAACTTCTAGCTATATTCATGATTAATTGAAGAGTTAATGTGCTCTTACAAAAAAGAGTAAAAAGCAACTCCTTAGATAAGATAGCATAAATACATATATAATAACTTCTAGAATGGAGAACGGATGTGCGTGAAAAGAATACCAAGAGAGGAAAGAATTAACTTGTCATTGAAAACTTAAGCATCAAAGGCATTAATAGTGCAGTACAAAGGTGCTGTCTCACTGTCTCATTTTTTAAATGTTTGTGCAAACCCTACAAAGGATTTTGGTATATCTCATTCAATTTTTTAAATAGTGTATGTGAATCATAAAGAGCACAAAATTTTAGGATATGGCCTATATTTAGAATAAGTTATTATCAAGGGAAGTTCACCTCAAAACCAACAAGTGATGAGCAAATGATGAAGGATAAGATATGAAAAAAAGACTACAATATAGCCACACATCTAGGAATTTGTTGTTATTTTATTCTTCAGAATAAGTCTCATATTCCCCATTAACCTGAACGTGAAATACAATTTGCTCAAATTTTTATACAATTGTCACCCCAACTTTGCACCAAATGAACAAAAAGAATAACATAATATTTTTAATATTTTTAACTAACAAAAATTATTTAAAAAGTTCAAAATTAGGAAATAAGACATATTATCCAAAAATATAAAAATAATTTTAAAAAGTTGCGAAATTGTAGTCTTTTTTATTTAAAAAACTCTAGAATTAGAAAAAATATTTGATTATATTGAAAATGTGAATTAAAAAAAATTATTTTTGTGTAATTATTTTCTATTATATTTGATTTAAATCAACTATTGTTTTTTTTTTTGGACCAAAAAACTAGGCCTTTCAGATCATTTGCTGCAAGTTAGGGTAATAATTGTACATTTTTGGGCAAATTCAGAATTGTGCCTTTCTCTCAAGGGACACATTGTGTCTTATACCTTATCCTTAATGTAAGAGGCAAATAATCATGACCACCCCCCAAGTATATTCATGCTCGTGTAAATTCAAGATTTAATTTGGATTAAAAAAAAAAAAAGAAAGAAAGAGTAAAGCAAACAATTAAATATTTTTATAAAAAAAATGACATTGTTTAGAAAGATAGGTAAATGTACGTTCACAAGTTAAGGACAAGAAATAGAGTATGATGGTACCTAAAATATACAGTAAGGTAAAAGTTAAAAGAGCTAACCAACTACAAAAGCTGACTATCAAAATAAATTTTATGGGGTACAACTCAGACCAATATGTGATAGAGGATCATAAAAGGTACAGATAGTCAACAAAATCTCGATACCAAACTAGTAGGCAACAAATGTAAAGACCTCGGTTCTCAACTCCATTTCATTTAAAGCCAACCTTTCTTTGAGCTATTTGTGATATACTGACATTTTTCCTTTAATCAATTCAGCTCATATTACTGTTTTTTTGCACCTCTCATCTTTTAGCTCCTATTAATCAAATCCACCCATTCAGCCATTCATTTCATTTATAAATCCATGAAGTCCGAAATAGAAGTACATATAATCATAAATGTCTGTATCCTAATCGTAAAAACAGAACCTCCATAATCATAAATGTACCTGTATCCTATTCAGTCCTCTATTTTCTTCATTCCACATATTTATTTGAGACATCGTATCTCAGCAATATTATTTTCAGTGCCTAACAGGAAGTAGAGTAAGGCATCCACCTTATTCATTGTTCAAAATTGGGAAGAAGGCTACCATTTATCAAATTTAAGAAGTACAGACAATGAAATAGATTTAACTGAAAATGAAGTAAAATGAAATGAAAAGGTTGTTGAAGAAACTCAGTATGTTTCAAGTCAGGAAGCATGGTTTATACAGAGACCTATAGTTATATTTAATGGAAGCATGAGTTTGAATGAATTATATTTCCTCATAACCATTGTTTGCCCATACCAAGCACTCCTATCACATGCACCTCAAGCACTCCTATCACATTGTTTTCCAAGGATGCCATGCACCTCAAGGAAGCAATGTAGCAGTAATTATAGAAAGGGCAAACCTATTATGCTAGGAGGCATTGCATTCTTCATGCAACAAACACCAATTTCAGATTTTTTTTAAAAATCCCATAGCATATAGCATCTTTAGCAAAATGCGTCATCATCGAAGAACTAACTAAATTGGAGGCTTCGTTTGTTCTATGACCAAGCGGCTTATGGTCCTACAACTTCACATGAATTGTAGTCAACATGTCATGGTTTGTGCAGTAGATGCCCACTACAGAAACTGCCCTGAAAACAACTGTAAGAGAAAATTTGACTCTAGCCAAAATTAATTAAAATCAACATTAAGCGGTTGGTAATAAAATTCTATCCATCAAACACTGGTTGTTCAAAGACTGTAAAGGCCTTTTGGCATTCAGCAATGGCAAATTGTATTGTTTGCGAGTAATTTGAAACTTGAATCGTTATAAAGTTGAACAAGCATTCTAAAATTTTGTTTCCTTGCCATGAAATATCCTTGCAATTATTGAGTATTGGTTCCTTCTCAAGACAATCCTAAGTATAAACATCACCAAACTATCTACTAGAAGCAAAATAATTTATCACCTATTTGCCAACTTTAGACATACATTTGGCACAAAATGACAAACACACACGCATATATATATTAATTGTCAAAAGGGATACAAGTTCAAGTATATATGTCAATAATAGAAGCACAATACAGACAAAATGGATAGCTCAAGCAAAAGTAAGATTAATTTCTGTGAGCCATACTGAAATGGAGTGAAAGAATCAAAGGCATTTCTAGCGGTAAAAAAATATATTACACTACATTGTGGCTCGCCAAACAAGCCTTAACACCACTGCAAGCAACAAATTCCATAAACAATCAGGTAGTAAAAAGAGAAGGGTTGGCAGTGGCGGTACCCACTTGGACTTCCAGCAGCTCTAAGCGTCGTTCGAGCGTGTCAAGCTTCTCATTGAGCGAAGACAATTTACTCTTGGTAGTAGCCTCTGCAAAATTTGTCACCATTAACTGAAATTGAAAAAAATATATTCCGAATTGAAAAGATCTTTAAAGAGAAACTAAACCAAAATTACCAAATTGAAGAAGGAATTCGAAGAGGCGACGAACGTTGAGGGAAATATGAGAGATGAACTCGCGATTCTCCCAATCGGCTTGTACTGCTATACCTACATTTACTGCGTTTGTTATCCCTCCTGCTCTCGCCATTTTGGATCTCACGAAACCAAAACAAGGACAGTTCCCAACCCAATAGTTCGTGCTAGAAATGATTTTCGATAGTTGGTCGATTGGCTTCTTTTTAATTACTATCTTTTTCTCTGCTGTTATCCCAAAAATCTGATCTTTGAAGCCAAGCCTTCGTTATTTGCTCCAAGTTTGGCAGTTTGACGCCTTTTCCAGTTCTTTTCAATTAATTATTTTATTTTTTAAAATAATAATTTATTAATTTCGACTTTTCCCGGTTTACCTTCAAAAATAATTGTTTTTGGACAGTAGAAATATTAATTTCACTCATTATACTATTAAATTTATATTTTTTAAAAAATAAATCGCTTATGTTGAAAATAAAAATTTTTAAATATAAATGAAAAAAAAGTATTTATAATTTAACTCAATTGAATCCTGAGCAGTAACATTAAATATATTGTAGTTTTAACTTATCTCGATATAATTTTTCAAATATAAATTTTAACATGCTTTCAAGAGAATTTTTAAAATTAATAAATATTTTACCTCAATAAAATTTTAGGTTCCATAGTTCAAAAAATTAACTATTATGATTGAGAGCTAAATCATTCATTTTCACCTGTTAACCATCTAAATAAGATATTAGAAAAATAATCTTTCAGTTACCTTTTCTTTATTTAAAGTATTTATTTTAATTCAAGTTCAAGCAGTCTCCATTTTGATTAATATTTAATCAAATTAATATTGTTTTCCTTCACTTCTTACACATTGTTCAAATATTTAAAATATCACCATTAAATTTATAGCAGTAGACTTGGATTTAGATATCCTTGAATTTTTGAATTTTTTTCATTTTTTTTTTCATTAATGCTTCAATAGCCATTTTCATTAGACAACAATGCTTGCTGAGTAATCTCCATTCTTTTTTTTTTTTTTCTTCCAATTGCTGCTCGGAAAAATATTTTTTTTATTATTTTATGTAATTATAAATAAAATGAGCACATAAAATATTAATAAATACAAAAATATTTTTAATTATTTTAAGTAATTATTAGTAATTGATTATGAGATTATATAATTCAAATATAATATAAATACATATAAACTAGCTGGTGTCAGTTAAAAAGAAAAACCGATTGAAGCTAAACCAAACATCTCGTAACGTTTTAAGTTAAAACGCCCAGTCAGAATCATATTAACCCAAAAAAAAAAAAAAAAAAAAAAACATTTCGCGCTCGTTCTAGCCGGTCTCAAATAAATAATTGTTTTTGGACATAGCACAGGATCCTTTAATGTATCGAACTCTACATAGTACACTTGAACCAACATCATGAGAGACATTTATAGGTTTTTCTCTTAAAAGAATGACTCCGCGTTACTGTCATGAAAATTAGAAATTTGTTATAGATAACATGAGATTAAAATACAGTATCTCTAATTAACGTCAAGTTGGAGAAGTGCACTGAGCAGCTGGACATCAGTCACAATAAATCTACTGTCGTGGATCAGGATTTTTGAATACTGCTATCGAGATACTACGGATCTGATCTCTCTTGTTAGGTCGAAATATAAATTGAATATTTTAACCACATCGCTGTCATACGAGAGGTGCAATTTTTATGACATATATGATATATATTTTACGTCATGTAACATATTTAGAGTGAATATACGCATATTTGTACAAAAAATTCAGAGCTGAGCTTATGGAATTGAGATGGCTAAATCATACTAGACGATCTATTATTACACCTGTTAGACATTATCTACAAGTGAAGACTTCGAGTGTGAAAGAAGATAGATCTTTTCACCACATTACGTTCGTCTTGTACTTCTAAATATAAAGTTGTGTATTTAATCATAGTTCAAGTCATGTTGCGCGTCTCATTGGTGTGATTACACTGTGTGTAGTATTTCACAATATTAATGGTCTTACATTGCAACTTCTCTAGACATTGTGTCAGATGATGTATTTAGTAACTATCAGCGCATTAAATTTAAGCGAGTTACGCATCTTGATTTAGATATCCTTGTTACATGATTTTTGCATTTTTTCCATATTATATGTTCTTCTACATCTATTAGGATTCTAGAGTAGCTCATTTGTAGCTCGATTGTATAGACATTACAATGTTGCTAGCATAACTGAGTCATTCTTTGCTTTTTTTTTTCTGTCGCAATGAGTCATGCTCATGAAAATATTGTGTGCTCATATAGATGTTAGTTCTTATGTTAGGGATTAGTGTGCAGTATTTGTCAATAACTTTTATGTTTTATAATAGAAATAGGAGCGAGACTGACATGCTGAAAAATTCACACTTAGACAGTATACGAGGAACACAGTGATTTTTAATTATTTAAGTAATTATTAGTACAAGTCTCTGATTATCGCCAGAAGTTCTATTTACAACATATCAGAATATAATACTAATACTACTGACTATAAGACTCTTAGCTTCGGTAGTTCAAATTCTAGATTAGAGTCGATCAAAACGCGTAGATAGAAAAGATAGAGTACTTAAGAGCGACTCGCGTCTACTGATCTGGTTGATTTGACCTTCGAAAAACTCGCGTGGTCTCTGGTAACGGTTTACATTGCAACGCGCACAGTCCGAGAATACATGCACTTTACAGCTGCCAAAAAAAAAAAAAAAAAAAAAAAAAAAAAAAGCAAAATTGAATCATAAAATAAAAAGGAGAACCAAAAACAAAAGCCACAAGTACAGACCAAGAGAAGGAGATGACAAAGAAGAAAGCCATTGTTCCATATAACGTTATTTTCAAGTTCTTGTATACTGAAAGACTAGTAATTGCCACAGCATCCCTATGGGGACCAGAGGCACTTTTGTCTCAGAACCTAAACCATAACCAGTGGATAACTCGAGGCCTAATGAACAAGTCCTGCATGATTTAGAGAACACTACATGCCTACAGAAATACAGATGACCAGTAGACTGTAGGACTCATGCTGAGGCTGCGCCTGATAATAAGCCATTATGCCGAAGCAGTGCATCTGGTGAAGGTTCGCGCCCTCGGAATTGCACAAAAACCTATATGCAACATCATTATATGTAAAGAATCAGTATTAAGAAGCACGGAAAAAAAAATCCTTAGTTGCAAAGTTCAAGCTACAATAAACTTCTATAAACATCCCCAGGGAAAATAAGTAGAGGCAAACGTAAGATGTATAATCCAAACTTCACGTCAAACTGCAAAAAGAGAAATATACGACAGCAAAAATGGTAATAGGAGAAGGAGAATATAGCATATATTGTTTAACCTCTAGTGGTGCTTTTCCACCTCCAAGCGCAAGAATGGTCTCACGGAACCTGTGTCCGGTCTCCTTGACAGCCTGTAGCAATAATAGAGCTCAACAAGTCACTCATTTGGTATTTGCAAGCTAAAGCAGCCTTGCTTCAACACTTAAGGCAATACTAGGTTTCACTAGTCATCATAAAATGTGACTTGGAGAATGAGCAGCAAACTTTTACATATTTATGGCGATATTCTAATGGGGAAGTAACTAGTGAAGGTGAACTTAAAACTAAGGATTCTGTGCCACAACTTATTTAGCATTCCTACATCTATCTGCATTTTACAGATATAAACAACCAAAAGTTGTCATTCATCAATAAGAATTAATGACTCCTCAAGTAATCATCGGGCATCCAATTTTCAATGGCAATAATGTGCATTGGCGACATTCAATTGAAATCTTTCAACGGGTAAGAAAACAAAATAGAATAATCAGTCATAACAATGCACAGAAATGAAGGATAAGAAATTAAAAATCAGGATCCATAATGAGGCTATTAAGGTCAGTCCTGGAAAGCATTTTCAGTGAGCAAACCTTGCTGTCTTCTAATCCAGCATCCTCAAAAGCTGAGAATGCATCTGCAGATAGTACCTCCGCCCACTGCAATAAAGATTTTTACTTTCAGATGCAAGTTACAACAAAGGATAACCAAAACACCGAAAAAAGAAAAGAAAAAAATCAATATTTTTACATATTCTTCTAATTTCTATGTGCATTAACCTGCTAAGAAAGAAAAGGAGAGAAGCCACGAACATAATTTTTCCTAAAATTCTTCTTCCTTTCAATTTAAAAAAATAAATAAATATAAATACAAAAGAAAAAGGATGAATGTTGAGAGCAAAGCTCAAGCTGGGGTATGTTTGCTCTATAAAGCTAATTTTTGAGTTACCCATAGTGAACCTGAAAAAGAAAGTGATGCAGGGAGGGAAAATAAATCTTTGCTACATTAAAATGTGTTGACCAGAAATACTTCCCAAACCATTATTATAATAATAGTGGATACTCCATTACAGTATGTTGAAACTAAGGAACATATGTACCTTATAACTGTAGTATCCAGCTGCATATCCACCTAATAATCATAAAAGGAGTAAATAAACAAGATCAAAAAGGAAGGATGCAATTAAGGAAGTAAAGGTGAAAGCTAAGAAACTAAATATGTTTCAAGGGACGGACACCTGCAAATATATGGCTAAAACTACAAAGGAATCTATCCTCAGGCAATGGAGGGATCACTTGTGTCCTCTTAGAGACCCTCTGATCAACATCATAGACAGACTCTGACCCACCAGGTGTATACTTTGTGTGCAACTCCAAGTCTAGACTTGCAAATCTTAGCTGAAATATCAGAATAACCATGTAAGAAATCTCAAATATTGTGGTAGATAGAAAAACTGTCATGCAAATACATTATCTTCAATTGTTAATATAAGAAGTTGGAAACAACATATAAAGTTAAATGCAAGGTAGAAAAATGCATTTTTCAAAGATAAGAAAACATCTGTAACAGCTTGACAGAAGAAAGCTGCATCCTCATCAGATTTGAGACCAAATAAACATGTTATCAGCGAATATAAAACTACTAGAAATAAAACACAGAAGGAAAACATCATAATGTTCAACAAACCTGGCGAAGACTAAGGGAACCTGCACGAAAAGTTCTTGCAGCAAGAAGCTTCAAATATACATCTTCTGGAAGAGTCTCCCCAGTTTCATAGTGCTTTGCAATGCCCATCAAAGTTTCCCTGCAGCAAATGCACGCATGTAAAACATATGCATATTGCATCAGCGTGAAAATAGAGCTATCAAACAAAGAAATTCTAGAGAAAATTACCATACTATAAAACTAAGCATGATAAGATTCTAAAGTCTTAAAATATGACTTATCATTGAGACCATTTTGATAATATATATATATATAACATGGCTTACCAACCCACACACGAAGACAGCCTCATAAGCAAGGTGGAGAATCTAGAATAGAAAATTTATAACTGCCTGCACATCCAAGCAAATATTGACTAGCCCTACTACATGATGCTACTTTTGTGGGCACGTAAATATCTCCTTTTTTTCTTTCTTCAATGGAAACCAATGCATTTTTTCAACTTTTCTATTTCTCCTTTCCTCAGTTTTTCAAAGAAATTCCAATGTATAACATTCCAAATTATTTATAACCATGAGGGTTCAGATCATGTCACCTATGATAACACCAATTTTCCATAAACTGCGAGGGTAATTCAACAGCATCCCACTCTATTCCTCGAATTCCAGCAACAAGACCCTCATCCTGTTTGGTTAGCATATGCTGAAGGGCATGACCGAATTCATGGAAAACAGTCTCAACCTGCAGACATTCCATCAATCCTCAGAACTAGGATAGATAATGTATGAAAAACAAGACACTCACTTTACACATCCAGAATTCACCAATATAAATGTTTTTGTAATATATATATATATATATTTGCCACAATAATCAAGCAATTTATTTATAAATTCAGTTCCCCTTCTTCGTTTAGCAAAAGACTAAGGTTGTGATGGTTATACATAATTGTTCCTTGAGATCTTCATAAGAATAGTTGTCGAAGAATGCACCTTTACTTCACTAATAAGAAGCATAGAGTTAAGGATGCAATGCATTAACATCAAGAAACATAAAGTCAAGCTAATGGTCATTTTGTATCTAAACCTATCTAACAAGTAAATAAACATCCAGTCTCAGTTAAACATAACTTTTAGTGCACAAATAAATGGTTGTCTCCATGTGCCAATGTGTTAAAGGGTTTTTACATGTGTCTCCAACAAATCAGTCACATCTTGAATAAAGTCAGTCAATGAGAACAAAAGAGGTATGCAAACCTCTCGAAATGTCATAAGGCTTGGTTTGTCTCCAACTGGCGGCGTTTGATTACACACCATGTGGGCAACAGGCAACCTTGGGGAAGTTCCATTGCGTGACAAAACCCGACTTCGAGCAACTACCTCATCCATCCATGCACCTCCCCTTTTCTCAGATGGACGAGAGTATGGATCAAAATAAAAGTACGCAATTGGAGCACCAGAGGAGTCTTTGACACGGTAGAATTTAACATCATTATTCCAAACCTATAAAACCAGAAGCATGTATTAATAGGGTGCAAGACAGTATATACCTTTCAGGCCAAACCAGATAAAAAATAATGCAAGTGTAATATATTACAGGTGCTAAACCATCAGCTGGTTCAATATCAATTCCAAAAAGATTCTTTGCGAGGTTGAAAAGCCCATCCATAACCTTTGGCAATGAGAAATATGGCCGAAGTTCTTCCTATAGCAGACAAAATATGAAACAATTAAGTTTTTCTTCAATGAGCAGAAGTTCCACAAAAAGCAAAAGTAAGAAAATGGAACTAGACATTGATGGGAGTTAACACCATACTGAAATAATCATTTATAATATTGATGACACATACATAACACATGCATGTACATAGCACACACAAATGCGAAAGCCTGTACACTCAAAACATGCAAAAAAACATGCACCATCATTCCAATTCTTCAGTGCCAAGAAACTGCTGAAGTAAGACAGAAGAACTCGTTCAAATAATGCTTCAATAATAGTTTCTACCAGAGAAAAATCTCACACTTAATAGGGTAGTAGACAGAATAAAATCTCAGTTAAAAAGTTAAAATCCAAAAAACAGACAGGGAATAAGAACTTTCTTTTTCGTTGTCAGTTTGGTAAAAATATACTGAATTCTATTCAAATCCCTCAAGACAGTTCCTTTATGTGATAAATCAATGCCTTATAAAACCATCCTTTGAACTATAACCAGTGCATGATAATCAAACTAGTAGGCTATTGTAAAGTGTAAAATCCTGAACTGAGTCAGCAACGAAACAAAGCACCCAAGGTTGACGAATAGTACAAAAAATGAAGTATCATAAGCAGTCAAAAATATCAATTCATGATGTTAATTCAGATAATATCACTCATGACACAAACAAATCATAGATGACCTACCAGATTTGCAGTTATCTCAGAGAGAGTGTGCTTACCTCATTGATATCATATCTTGACTCGCGAAGCCTCTCAGCCCAAAAGCTTATGTCCCAGTGGCTCAAATCATTTGCTTCTACTGCACCTTGATTTTTGGAGAAAATTTTAAGGTCTTCCATATCTGCAAGGACAAAAGAATCATGCAACTGTAAATGTCCCGTTCCAATTAAGGTAATTTTGTGAAAGTTAGATTAAGAAAGCAAATTTTTTGAGAAGTTAGAGAAATCAAGGCATATCCAACATTAACCTTATAATTTAGCCCCACCATCAATACTAATATCAGGAAAATAGAAAAATGGAAACTAGATTTTTAAATCCAAATTGTATTTTCATTTTGAAGTACTGCATAGAAACTAATTGCACATATATACAATATAATCAAAATCTTTGCAAGATACGTGAATGTGAATTTGCAAACAGAGCTGAAAAACAATTCCAAGAGAGTAAAACCTTTCTGTTCTTGCGACCATTAAGAAATTGTATTTAATATTTTACCTCGGACTGCAGCATCCCAGGAAGCTGAGCGCAGCTTTTCTAAGAGCTCTTCTGCCTTCTCAACAGTTGCCATTTTTGTTGCCATGCTTACCTGTTATAAAAATATCAGCAAGGATATCCAAGGTAATGTTGGGCATAATACTAAGTTATACCTCAGCATAGTTGTTGTAATTGAGAAGCTTAGCCTTTTCCAGTCTAAGCTTTACTATTTGGTCGATAATTGGTGTATTATCCAGATCACCGCTCGAAGCACGAGTTACATAAGCACGGTAGACTTCTTCACGCAAATCACGGTTTCGAGCATGTTGCATGACAGACATAAAACTAGGGCCATCCAATGTAATCACCCAAGGTCCATTCTCAGCTGTTGCATCTTTATGCCCCTGATAAGATCGATATAAAATGAAAACTACTGGACCTAGAAAGTATGGCTGGAACTGATACACATATTAAGAATAGAGAATAATAGATTTTCACATGTAATACCTTAGACGCGGCTGTCTGTGCAGCCAATGCAAGTGATGTTGCAGGCAACCCTTCAATTTCCTTCTCGTCTGTAATGAGTTTTTCAAACTTCTTTGTTGCATCTAACACGTTCTCCCCAAACTTTTGAGATAATCTTTCCAGCTCCTGCAAATTAACACATGATTAAAAGAACAACAGAGAGAAAAATAAATAAATAACAAGATACAATCAACGGCTGTAGTTTTCTAATAACAAAATGCTAAGAAAAAAGCATGCTAGCTCAAAAGAGACCAAGGAAGAGGAGGAGGAGGATGAGGTGACAGCTCAAGGCTTCCAAATTGAAAAGTTGTGCCAGACCAGTTCCTCCCTACCATTCCATGGAAGATGATGAATAGTCCTATTCTTTATCAGAGATAGACCTGTTCAATTTTGTTGAACTCTTCTCTTTTATCATCTTCAAGAGCAACACCTTTAAGAACTGCCTCCTTTATTTGGGCTGAAAAGGCATAAACACAGAAGACATCAGAAACAGGTCAAGTGTAATTTCAATGTACTGCTAATCAATATAGCATGCAAGGGATTATAAATGATATAGCAGAAAAAATGCACTTGTAAGCTGTAATCCAAACGCAATATAAAATTGGCTTACATCTGCCATAATAAGTCCTAAGTTGCAATCTGCATGCAGCACAAGAGGGCATAAAAGAAATAAATGACTTCAATTAAGGCCGATATGCCAAGATGAGTTCATGAAACATGCAATCAAGCCCTTGAATTAAAAAAAAATCAACTAGTTAATCTTTCACTGATATAAATAGCCCAAGTCTGATAGAATGAGATTAACTCGATCATCACACTGGAGGTAATTCCAAGCCAGGTACACATGAGTTCAATAATCAAACCCTGCTCCGATAAAAAGAAGAAAGAAATAGAAGACCATCTCATGACTGAACCGCAGAACTCTGACTTGATGGATGAGTTTTAGCAGATCAATTTATTTAAACCTATGCTTGTAGATGCTTGAATGACATTAATTGATATGCAGCTCAGATAGAAATATGCGAAGACCAAAGTAGAAGCATGGCAATCCCAGCAAGTTACTTTCTTTGTAATTTTGCAAACATACTCCCAGCAAGTTACTTTCTTTGTAATTTTGCACTCAAAAATGACAATCCAATACCAAGGCCAATGATTAAGAGTATCTGCAACCAATCTAGTCTAAGGACATACGCTATTCAAAATTCAAGAAAACTAATGACACGAGGATTGGCAAAAAAAAGAAAAAGAAAAAGAAAAAAATCATATAAGAAATAAAATAAAAATAAAAAACTCAATTTCTAAAACCAAAGACAAAATATAACTACAATAAATAATTTGAGGATTCATATGGAACCAATATGAAGAAAAATGATAGCCAGTTTCATGGGAAACTTAGGATACTTACATTCCACTATACGCTTCTGAGCATCACTTAGTGACTGCCATTGAGGAGATTCTTGGATAGCTTTAAATGCATTGTAAATCGGTTTACTTTGTCCTAGCCTAAGCTCAAACTTGACCTTTTCTGGCTGCAGACAAGAACTAGAGGCGATAAGCACTAGAAATGAAGCTTTAATCAAATTTGACAGGCAATTTAAGATGAACTGTCTAAATGATATAATAGCTTAGCAACCTTATTACAGATGAATGAAATATGTTATGCAACAATTTACCTGAACTTCTTCAATTGCAGCACGGAGTTCAGGAGTATCCTTAACAGACTTAAGGTGATTGATCGCACCCCAAACAACAGCTAATTGATCTATAATCTTTTCGAATGGCTCTACCAATTTTGGCCATGATGGTTCCAATGTTCTCTCCAATTCCTCCAAATCACTCTCCTACAACACGCGCGCAAATTCAGATAATCAAAAAATAAAAAACAATACATAAATAACAGAACAAAACCCCAGAAACTGAAAAACAAGAAAAAATTCAAAACAAGGACAAGACTCATTCAAGAGGACTCAACATTTATACAACTCATTATTAACCATAGCACAATAAGAGATCAAATAAACATACAAGTTTCTTTAGCAGAGCACGAATCCCAGGTCGAACATGTTTAGCCTCGACAACATCAAAAGGAGGGAATTCGAAGTCCTGCAACAGAGGATTGGAACCGAGTGTTTCATCAACATCAGCCATTGAAAGTGGTGGAGAGACTGAAGAATAGCAAGGCGAGAAAGAGAGTGAAGAAGAGACGGAGATAGGAGTTGATTTATATAGAGACTGGAGACAGAAGGAGAAAGAAGAGGACCAGAGAGGGCAAGGATGGGATTTGGGGAATTGTTTTGGGGTAAAATGGGAAAAAGAAGAGCGTTTTAGGATTGGGTGGATTGAGCGCGAGAGAGGGAGACGTGAAGCCATTAGAACGTTTACTATGAGGAGAGTGGTTACTAGTTGTGCTCTCTTTGGACTTTTATTTAGTGTGGCATTCGTTTTCATTTTCATTTTGGGTTCTGCTTTCCTTCTGTTTTGCTTTGTCTCTATATAAAACTACTGAAACCCAACTCGATGCCTTGCGCGGATTTTTTTTTAATTATTGTTTTATTTTTCATGACATTATCAACAACTAAAAATTAATTTTTCAATGTTTTATTTTTTGAAATTTCGTAAGAAAAATGGAAAATATATATATTTTTTTTTGTTTAAATTCAGTTTACCATTTTGGAGAATTGGCAAACAATTTTCCAGTTTTTTTTTTTTGTAAATTTAACTGATATTTGAAAAACAATTTGAAAAAAAAGTTAGATTTCATGTTTAAAGTTGTTTTTCATAATTTTCCTTTATCACCAAAATCATCTTTTTTTCCAACTATTTTTCAGTTTAAAAAATGATATTTTGTAATTGCATCATAAAAGTAAACTAAGATAAGAAATTTTATGAAAATAATATAAAAAAAATAGACTCCATACCCAAATATTTAAACAATAAATAATAAAATCAAACCCAAGTATTCATATACTAAATAAAAAAAAAATTAAGATTTAATATTTGATTTTAAACTTGAACCAATTTTAAGATGCAAAAATAATAAGTTGGGTATGAATTCAAATTATGGTGTAATTGCAACTAGGTTAATAAATTCAACGTATTTAGGATACAAAAGTCGATTTAGAGTGAAATTACAACTACTCAAAAAGTTCAAGGTTAAATTGAAGGCTAAGCCAAAAAAATATATTTGTAGTTATATCCTTTACTTTCAAAAAGACTTGCAAAATAATAAAAATTGATATTATTATAAAAAATATTTTCTATCGACTTATTTTTCTGAACGCTCAAACAATGAAAAATTGTAGAAAATCTGTTTCTGCAAATTATTTTACAGAAACAAACGGAACTTAGTTCCCGATGATTTGAAATTAGTAATTCACAAGGCTTTTTATGTTTTTACTTGTACTGACCATATTGAATGTCAAGGTAATTAATCAATTGAACTCATTTCTTGATTAAGAGTTTCATATGTATCTTCTTCTTTTTTTCTTAGTTTACCTCACGTAGTGTTATCACCCATTCATGTAACTATGACAACTCGGGATTTCAAAATCCTAATAAATATCTTCTATTTCTTTTTATTAATGAGGTAAAACTTTATCTATATATATGAGGTAAAACTTAATTCTATATATATATATATATATATATATATAATATATATATATATATATATATATTTCCTCTTAAAAGCATCTTATTTCTGTTAATTTTTGATTAATTAACAAAACAATTAATTACCAAATAAACATGTGAAACAGTGTAAAGCGAATATATATAAACAATTATATATTCCTCTAAAAGCATCTTATTTCTTGTTAATTTTTGATTAATTAACAAAACCAATTAATTACAAATAACATGTGAAACAGTGTAAAGAATATATATAAACAATGTTTTTTTTTAGTTTTGTACTCCTTTTTGGATAATTTTTTTATTAATTTATATTCTTAACATATTTAATATTTATTTCTTTAAGTGCATTGTTCTCCTTTTGTTTTTTTTTTTTTCAAGAAATATACATATTAAAATCTCTAATTGCGTTAATATTCCTAATTAAGTTAATATTTGTCCTTTATCGGCATATAATTAAAAATTACTAAGGAAACTTTTGTTCATTCGTCTGTTCCTCTCTATTTGTATTTTTGTATATATTATAGATAGATTATAGACAAATACTATAGATTATTAGGCAATAAATAAGCAAGTTCAATGCTTTACTTGGATTCAGTTGATGTATATCTATATACATTCAAAGCAGATACAGATAAAGATCAAGGTTTGCAAGATTCATATGGATAAAAAGCCCTAAATTTACAACCTTGATATACGATTCACAAGTTAATGCCATCTCTCATACACCTCCAATAGGTAGATAACCTCGTTTCCCATCTGCTAACCTTGCACATGAAAAAAGAATCAGTAAACTTTATGAAGCAAAAAAATGAAATTAAGACATTGTTCAGTTTTGGACAAACAATATGCAAGAAAATTGCAAACATATCTTTGAAAATGAGAATACACAACGGTTGTCTCCTTTTAAATATAGAAGTGCATATGTTAGTAGTCTTATTTGTTGCTACATCAGAAATACTTTAAGGTCTTAAAGGGGTTTGTATGAACTGTAATTCTACAGTGTCCTGAAATCACCATTGCTGTGGTCAAATTGTAGCAATGTTAAAATTCAGGCATAGCAATGAATAGAATTTATAGCTGATTTTGATCCTGGTTTACCCTATCTCCAACTAGCCATTACTCCAATAATACTGATGTTATCATGTACCTGATGGGGCTGGGATGTTTCCTCAATTCTTGTACTTCATGGTTTCTTTCTCAAACCCAATAGTTGGGAATTGCTTGGCATACCCTTCAACATCATGACGCAATTTTGCAATTTCAGGTTGGAAGTTAGGAAGTGCAGCCAAGAAGTCCTTCAACTTTGTCCCTGATTTAGAAAAATTAACAGCACAACTCCCAATTAGCAGATTGATGACCAGAATCAACTTGGAATATCAGGTTATGAGAACAAATTACACAGCAAAGTATGAAAAGGGCAATGACCAGATGCACTGTTGCAGAATGCAACTTATGTATCCACGACTTACTGACCTTTGGTTGCAGCCTTGATTTTCACTGCCAACTTCACAGCAGCATCAAAGAATTCTGCTACTTTAGCAAAATCCTCCTCAACAAATCCCCTAGACGTAAGAGCAGGGGTTCCTGAAATGCAATTGTATATATATCAAGGAAAGTCGCTATGAACATGTCAAAGAATATTGTTATTGGAAGGCCTTTACCCATCCTTATGCCACCAGGAACCATGGCAGATACATCTCCAGGAACGGTATTTTTGTTTGCAGCAATGTGAACAGCTTCCAGAACCTTTTCAACTCTGGATCCATCAATACCCTGATGGCACGAGACTTTAAGGTAGCAGAAAGAAAGAAGGAAAGAAAGAAAGAAAAGAAGCAGTAGACCTCTTTCACAATTTTACCAATAAATTTACAACCATAAGATGGACAAAAAATGTAGCATATAGATATAGGTGCAAGTAAAATTGTTGTAAAACAACAATTTGTCACTTTGGGTAATTTCCAAAATAGTGAACCACTTCTATCAGAAGGTCAAATTAGAGAGAAGAAATGCCCCTACCTTGTTCTTCAAATTCACTAAAACTAAATGGTTTTCAGTTCCACCAGACACGAGATCATATCCCTTCTCCACTAAAGTCTGCAAAAAAAATTTAGTTTTCAAGTTATAAAGATATTGGAAATAAATCAGTAAATCCATATTCTGATGAGAAAATATCATCACTAAAATTCTCACGGATAAGATAAAGTTTTCTCATATTATATAATCTTGTTCTGGCAACAAATATTACTATATCTGATAAATTGATTACCTCGGCAAATTTTGAGCAATTACTGAGAACTTGCTCCTGATAGGCTTTATATTCTGGAGTTGTGGCCTGCATAATAGAGTAGGAATATATGAATAACATTAGAAATGAAAGTTACAATTACATTAGAGAAAGGATGCAAAATGCATGATTTTAGACTGGATCTCTGATCATTAAAAATTATGTAGAGGCCATTGGAACTTAGAACTGCATTTCTTCTTATGCTTGCTTTTCTTGAACCAATATCAACACTTCCAAGAAATGCAAATTTCATTGCATTAGCTATATTTTCAGTGTCTCATTTGTAAGCTGACCATCAAATAACGCCTTCACATATTACTACTCTAAAACAAACTGGCATGTGTATGGATCAAAATTAAGAATAAATAATTCACCTCTTGATTATTGCAAACCATGCTAATGTCTATTGAAATTTAGGACAGTGGGGGCTTGAGGGATTTAAGTTGGCATGCATGGTCAGTATCGTGAATCACTCGTCACTGTAAGTTGATGCAATATAAGGCACTTGTAGGCTTAGCCTAGCAGTAAGTTCATATTAAACCTGGACAACGAACACCTGACCTGTTTCAGTGCAACTGCTAAACCTGTAATTGTGTGGTTGTGCGGGCCCCCTTGGAGTCCAGGAAAAACAGCTTGATTGATTTTGTCTTCAAAGTCATACAACACCTTCAGCAAGAACTCAAAGACAAATGTCAGTTCCACTAAAAAGAATATAGAGTTAGCAAAAGAAAGAAGCAGAAGAGATCCAGATTAATAGATTATGCTAATACAAAGGCAAAAGGACAAGGATATATCAATATTAAAAATGGTCTTTTCTTTCAGCAACTGACCTGTTGGCCTTGTTTGTTAATCTCTTTTACCCCCTTCCTGTAGAAAATCATGGCTCCACGTGGCCCACGAAGTGACTTGTGAGTTGTGGTGGTCACTACATCTGCATACTCAAAAGGTGATGGGATGACACCAGCTGCAACCAACCCACTAATGTGTGCCATATCTGCTAACAATATAGCTTTTTGTTTGTCGCAAACCTGTTAAGACATGAACTTAAGACCCTACATCCCGCCAAATGAAATCAAAACTGCAAGTGCTAATGCATCGCTATCTTAATTGGAAATTGCCATGCAGTGAATTACTCCAAAGGAGGTTACCTTGCGAATGCGTGAATAATCATAAAGACGAGCATAAGCACTAGCACCAGCAACTATTAACTTTGGTCTGAAAAGGGTGGCACTTTTCTCCAGCTGCAATTTATGTCACACATTCCTTTTATTCATTCATAGGCAGAGAGACATAAATATATAATATATGCACATGACCTATCAAATAATTCTGCACTGCATGCTTTCTACAATAATGAGCATGTTTATGCTCTGATGCAGGTATGGAATACAGATACTGCCAATTATATTCATATAATTTTCATATTTTGCAACTAAGGCTTTTATGAATGTACATCACAATTACTTGGCAAATTCACAATAATGAATGTCACAGCTGGACCCATAAAAAGATAACAAAATTATAGGTTTCAGATGGTTGCAGCTTAAAAGCTGTAGGCTGGTCCCAAGATTTCATGTTCTTGCAGAAGTGGCTAGAATGGAAGATAAAAACTCTCTGATTCAAATGTTTAAAATGGTTAACAGCAGCCATAAAAGGAAATGGAAAATCATTTGAAAGCAAGTAACGAAAGGGAAAATATAAGTCAAATCTTTTCCATTTAATTCAATTTCGGGACAGGCTTTTTCTGGTGCTGGAAGAAAAAATATAAAGCTTTATGATCTGTGTGTGTGTGTGCGCGCGCGCGCGTGTGTGTGAGGGCATGTTTACTGTGAATGTAGAATCTGCAATTAAATCCATTTCAGTACTATTTTTCTAAATTTTGAATTACTAAGTATCAGCTAATTCTGTTCTTCTATGGATACCAACATATTTATTCATTCTAGACTTCTAGTACATAAATATCTTTCTTCCTCCACTTCATGGCTCTGCCAAGACTATCAAATACAATGAATAAGAAAACATTTTAACAAGAAGTGGACTACCTGGTCATAGTCAATATAGCCAGTGCTTTCATTCAATCTGTATGGCATTGTCTCAAAAAATATCGACACTGCAGATATTTTTTTGGTGTCCGTCTGCACATCAGGAAAAGAAATGCATATGAAGCTATATTTAATGACCACAAAGTGTTTAATAATAAAATCACTATACAGGCTAAACCCACTTAAATGCCTAAAGAGACTGAATCACAATTAGCATTCATGTTAAAGCACTCCCAGCTGGTTTCCAATCTTAATTTTAAAAATAAAAATCAATAAAGCAGAAAAAAGATATCCAAAAAAGAACTCAAAATTTCAAGCACAAAATCAAAAAATGAATGGCTTTGCATTTTAACGTTTCCTTTTGATTCTTAGAAAAATCAAGGAAATGAAAGGAAAAATTTGACCATCTTTCTCCTTTACTCTCTTCTTCCTTTATTGTTAAAAAGAAACCCTAAGGGGGAAATGGAATTTGAAATCAGAGTTCCCTTTCAATATGGAATATAGAATGCATTTGTGCCGCTACCTTGAGCGCATTGGTTTGTATGCTTGAATCATGTGGGAAAAAAAAAAAAAGAAAAGGAAAATAAGGTCTTCAAAAGAAATTTTGTTGTGGAGAAACATAATAGCAGGGGACAATGAATTATATCCAGATAATTCTAGTAAAGTATAATAATTCAGTAATAAATAATAATAGTATAAAATATGATCATTGTTAAGCTGTAGACAGTAAATCAGATAAGCTTCAGTCCAAGAGGAAAGGAGAGTATTAATTCATCCATGACGAACTACATTTCGAAAACAACTAGCTTCCTCTGGTGCAAAAAATTCTTGCAGATATTCCAAGGAAACAACATCTACGACACATTTAATATTAATATTAGGATGCTAGATAAGATGAGTGAAGAAAGAAAGTCACAGTTTTTGCAAGAACCTGATAGCCATGAGAAAGATGCCCTCCATGAGGAAGATCAAGTGCCATGATTCTATCATGAGGTTTTAACAAAGCAGTGTAGACTTGAAAATTTGCTGGGGACCCAGATAGAGACTGCACATTCACTGCATACATGAAAAAGGGAGTCAAAGATTTAGAAAACACCAACAAGCCATGTTACCAGAATCAGCCCATTAACCATGATATGTGAATAGCTGTCTCCCTTTTCCACTGAACAGCAGGCAACTCTTAAAAATATCAACAGGTAACCATCAACGGGAAATAAAATAAAAAGAGTATGTATACCTCCCCATTTTGCAGGATCCAATCGAAATGCTTCCAATGCACGCTTCTGACACAAGGTTTCAGCCATGTCAATATACCTGAAAAGTTGAAGCTCCATGCTCAGGCTCTCAATTTGGTCACAAAGTCCAAACGGAACAGATACAAGGGACAAGTATAAGAATACGGCAACCATGATAACACATCATGTTACATATAAGCATAAACAAGCCATAAAGACTGAAGGACTTTACTCATTTCCTCCATAGTATCTTGCTCCGGGATATCCTTCACTGTATTTGTTAGTCATTACAGATCCAACAGCTTGCATCACCGATACAGAAGTGAAGTTCTCTGAAGGGATGAGTTCAAGTCCCTATACACCAAATTAATTTCAGTCAGATACCAAACTATAAACTTCTATGACATATACTGATTTAGTCAAATAAAACAATAAATAAATAAAACCCCAGTTGCCACCTAAGAACCAGTATTTAATTAATATAATTAAGCAAATATAATAAAATTAATTGCAACTAATTTTTTCCCTGCACACACACTCACAGCCAAAATATGAAAATAAAAATTCAAGACAAAAGAAAAGGGGTAAAGATTAACTCTCAGGTGACATATCTCCAATTGTATCAGTTACATAACGGACCAGAATAAAAACAACATGCTTTAATGCTATATTAGTGCTTGAAAAGTTTGATTTTGGTCCAATACGACAATTCCCCAAAGCAAATCATAACTGAAACGGCATGTACCTTCCATTGGCGCGCTTTCTCAAGCTCAATGATGTCAGCAATCTCAGGGTCCACGGCTTCCAGCGGTGCATTTAGTTGCTTTGGCCACTGTAAATGAATAGAAAAATGCCAATTTATAGAATGAGATTAAAGAAAGCGAAAAAGAAAATTAGAAATGTTAAAGAGAAATAATTTATTGAGCTTACTGTAACACCAGATTTCTCCTTCTCGTACACGGCTTCATTAGGCAACGAAGACTGCAAAAATATATATATATAAACAAAAGAACAATTTAACATGAGAATTAAAGACTAAAAGGAAAGCGAGAGAGACCTTGTAATAGACGGAAGTGGCATTGAAGAGAGGACGAATGGGTTTGTCAAAGGAAGAAGAGAGCCTGCGAAGTGCCATTGCCATGGCCATTGCTTCTCTCTATCTCTTGCTCGAATGGGTTTAGTGCGTGTTTATGGTGGTTAAAGAAATAAATTTATTTATTTATATATATAACCTTTTTTTTTTTTTTCTGGTTCTGTTATCGTAGTGTGTTGGTTGCTGATGACCTTCGTTATCTCTACAAGCTCTGTCTCAGTGGCTTGGAAATGAAGTGGGGTAAAATGGTCGCTCTAACTTCTATTTTCTCCATGCTTGGTTCCAATTGGCACAGCTCATGCCACTCATGATTTTTTAAAAAATGATAAATTATTTTAATTTATTGAAAAACATTTATGAAAAAATCTACTAACAACTATACCCATAAAAAGTAGCTCTTATGTTTGAGTTCAAGAGACATTAATAAAAAAAGTACTTTAATTTATAATAATTTGCACATTTTCAAAGCAAAATAGCAAGAAATTTTAAGAGTGTATTTGATTTCATAATCTATATTTCTGAATTTTATAAAATATTATATCAAAAAATTTTAATAAGTATTTTTTTTATTTATATAACACCTTAAGATAAAATTGTTTATTTACTTTAAAAATTACAAGAAAAATATACATAGTTTATCATAATATATATAAAAAATATATATATCTTTAATGGTCATTTTTCATATAGCGGTCATTTCTAAAATTTTACCAAATAATAATATTATTCGATTATCAAAAAATTTTAATAAGTATTTTTTTTATTTATATAACACCTTAAGATAAAATTGTTTATTTACTTTAAAAATTACAAGAAAAATATACATAGTTTATCATAATATATATAAAAAATATATATATCTTTAATGGTCATTTTTCATATAGCGGTCATTTCTAAAATTTTACCAAATAATAATATTATTCGATTAACCATTATTAACTACCAGCTATTAACTATCAACTGATTTGAACAGCTAAACCAAATATAATATAAGTTAGATTACACTTAAAATTTTTTAAAACATTTTAAATTGTTAAAAGGACAATAAATTTTGGTCTGATTGGTTTTTCTGTCTCTTCTAGCAGATATAAGGTGCGAGAGGTCTCAAGTTCGAGTTCTCTTCATTATAAAATTATTATCAATTTTTTGAATGTTATTCAAAGGGGGTACCACTCTTGTTGTACGGTCCATAATATTATTCCGGTCAGTTGGATCTCCCATATATTAAAAAAAAAGTACAATAAATCTTGGGAGAGATATGTAAAATGCTACACCAAAATCAGCCATGAAAGCCCTATCCAAACTCCCTCATTTCTTAGCCACAAAGCGAAGATATATAGCCTAAGAAGATGCACATCATTTTTTATTTTTGTGAGAGAAATTTGGCCACCAAAGATTTCAAATGGTTCTTTTCTCACCAACCCATGTAATGAGTATAAGAAATGCGTCATTATCACATACATTGGTTGTCCATGTCAAGGTTCCCTCTCAAGGGATGGATTAATTATTAAAAAAATCCAAAATTTCATGCATTTTTCATTTTTAGCTAATTCTCTTTATTTTTTTCAATTTTAGCCTAAAAATATAACGTTGATGATAATTCACGATTGATATTTTAATATCAAATATTTCTTTGACACTTTTTTAAATCTTGCATAATATGATTTGATATGTGTAATTGTGTATCATATCCTATTCTTTTAAAAAATATTCATTATTCATGGTATATCAATATCATATTTCGTATGAATATCGTATTTTAATAAATAAAAAATTTTAATTAATTTAACTAGCAAAAATTAGAATATATGCGTAAAATTTAGTATTTATTTTAATATATAAAAAATTTTATAATTCTTTCCTTAAATGGAAATATTAAATTTTTAATTCATATTTTTCCAAGTTATTATTGGTTGAAAATATAGAATAAAGTACATTAAATATATTTTATTCATAAATTTGTTGTACTCTAATTATATAATTATGAAAAAATAAGTACGAATTTTCAATACCCAAAACATTCTGCGTTGTTTGTAATTCATAATTTCATGGACCATTGGCCCATATGCAAGTGTTCTAAGTTGGTCTTAAAGGAGTAATTGTTCCGAATTCAGTCTTTTCAAATACTGACTACCGAGTTGGGCCTAAAAATTATGAATTTGAAATCAAAATTCATATCTTATTTACACCTTAAAGGGCAAATAAAAGAACAAAACTTGAAAAATAAATAGAGAATAGTTTGTTTTTAGAAAACAAATTTAGAATTATTAAAATTTCATATTTTAAAACGATTTAGATTTTTCTACAATAAAAAACACATATTTTAAAATGATTTATTTACTTTTACAATAAAAATATTTTTAATTAACTAATTTTCTGACGATCTCTACACATTAAAAAATATAAAAAATATTTGTCAAATAAATTATTTTTCATAAACAAATAGAGTCTATATATTGGTTTAAGATAAAATGATATATAGAAATATTGTACAAGCTCACTAATGCTGGTTCCTTGTTAAAAGATTAAGAAGAATTTTATTTTTGGAATAACAAAAGTTACAACTGTTTATATCATTAGTAATAAAAAAAAAAAAGGATAAAATTTATAAGTTCACCCCAGATATGAGATTTCATTTTTTGAAAGTGAAATAATTAAGGCCATAAACAAAATTCATAAAAGAGAGAATAAGATGGAAAGAAAAATCTAATTTATATAAATTAATTATTTATTGCAGATTTTTTTTGGAGAAATAAGTAAATAGTTAAAATAAATAAATGCCTTAGAATCTAATATCTTTGAACAAAAAAAACCATAAAAAATCGCTAGAAGGAGGGCTTGAACCTCCGACCTTGTGGTTAACAGCCACACGCTCTAACCAACTGAGCTATTCCAGCTTACAATATAATTTGCTTATTTTCTAATAAGAAGCAAAGAATTCATATTCCACTCCATGTAAAACATTATTGTAAATAAATTATTTCCTCTTTTTATTGAAAAGCATGAATCATTGCAACAAAGTGACATCACATTAGTTGGAAAAGAATAGAGTAGTATAAAGTTATTATAAATAATTTATATATTTGCAATCTTTTAGTCTAATTTTTTTCAAATATTGCTTGATGAGCACTTGAAAATTAGTAAATCATCTTACTATTAAAATATCATTTCAAGATTCAATAATTCAAAATTGAACATAAATAACTAAAAATTTATTTTTTTATTTCAACTGAAATTTAAACTTCAAATCTCTCAAAATTTGGAGATAAATCCAATATTATTAGCACTTGATTAAAATATAGCTGTTAAGGCTGTATTTGACAATACCTTTTTAAGTAGCTCTAGTCAACACATTAAATACTATTTTTTATAGTATTCAGTATCATAACTTAGCTAATTTTACCCACCAGAAACTAAGTATAAAACAAAATGAATTACTGTTATAGAATTTATTCTGCCCATACGAACTCACCAACTCTGTCCTAAGAGCATCCTCATTCAATTATGTTAGACTCCACTGCAAACACCTTGTCCAACATTTGATTTGATTTGGTTTGTCCAAAATCCCACATGGCTCACAGCTTACAACAACATATAAAGTCCAGTTAGTAATAATTTTTAAAGAACATGCTCTTTGGATGTAAAAAGTAACAACATAAGTTAGCAATGGACCAATATATTTTTATTCTGTTTTCTTTAAGACAAGAAAATAATAGAGGGGACCATGGTGTGACAATTCATACTCTTGGCAAAAAATGTTAGTACACTATCCATCAAATTGGAGCCTATTCTCCAAATTTAAATAGTGATTTACTCATCCAATTGTATTGCAATATTATGTCTATGTAATTCTTATTCCATAGTAGGCTTTTGAATTTTACACTAATTATTATTATTATTATTTTATAGAATTAGTATGTATGTAAAAGTTTTTAACTCTTTTAATAACTGTATGTTCCGGCAATTGAATTTATGTTTTTTAAATAAATAAAATTTTACTATCTTCTTTGAATAGAAATTTTCAATTTCTTTGACAATATATCTTTAAAATAGTTTCCTATTAATTTATGTAAATTTAGACTAGCATAAAAGAGAAAAAAGATTCTTCTATGATAAAATTAGAAATATATCAAGAAGTCATTTGCATTTATGTAATTTAAATGATGAAATTTAAACCTTCAACGGATTTTTTTATATCTTTTTATTTAATTAAGGAAAAATAAACCCCAATTCCATTGTTAAGATTTCTAAATTTCATATTTTTTTTATTAATAATGGAATTTAAACCATTATATTTTATTTGAAAATACTTTTTCAAATTCATAAATTTTATTGTCCAATTAAATAATAAAATATAAAATTTTGTGAATTTTATGAAATTTATAGATTTCATATTCCTTTAACACAAACATCAAAACGACAAGATATAGTTAATACTGAACGTATATGTATATATATAGAGAGAGAGAGAGAGAGAGGTGAAATAGTAATAATAAATGAAAAATCATGCAGAAGCTTTGTTGAATATGATGCAACGTGAAAGTAAGACAGTAATTGATCTATCGAGATTGAAAGAGTTTGAATTTGTTAAAACCTTGAGACAAAAACCAAACAAGGACAGAGAAGAAGATAAACATTAACAATGGATGGCAACGAATCTTAGATAGTGAAATTAGACAGAGAAGAAGATGTTTTTTATTTTTCTTTCTTGCATTTGGCAGTACTGTCTCTGCCCTTATCTCTTCACACAAACTAAGAGAAAACACGACAATCAACCTATAGTCCCCACAACACTTCGTTTTTTGTGGGTATCGCTGGCTTTGCAGGTTCTGTAGTACCAAATCACATGCTTTTAATTATTTTCCAAAAATTATATTTATTTTATTTAACTAAATATTCGAACATGACTCAATTGACATGCGAAAATTTTATTATTTTAAATATTTTTAGTATTATAAGTTAAATTTTTTTAATATTCCCTAACTAATTCTCAACAATACAATAAAAAGACGAGTTCTTTAAAAAATGAATTTAGGATTGGTTAGGGTGCATGTTTCCTTATCTAGGTACCTTGAACCTCAGTGTCTTATGAAATAATTTGTTTTTTCTATTTTGTTCCGTGTTTATGATTTGTTCCTACACATTCTGGATCTCTGCAATAAATATTTTGAAAAGCAAAATCACTGGTTTGGTGGCTCTTGTTTTCCCTTCTTTTTCCTCCACTAAACCTTGTTACAGTTATGCGTCACCTTTACCAAATTACCAGTCGAACGTTTCATAATAATAAGATGTCCCAGTATGCATATATGTTATGTCATTTTCACAATGAAAAACCAAATATATTCCATTTCCATGTAGAAAAATTCAAC